TTTTTTCGGGCATTTCTGGTTTTGCTTCCCTTACTGTTATCGAGCCCTAATATAACACTAATTTTACTTTTCTTTTAATTGAATGCCACGACTTTGTACAGAGTTGACTATGGATTAAAAAATGTTGCCTGGAGTCACTCTACTTTGTGCGACAGTTTTCGGGCATCGATTATTATTTGTGAATGCAGCTGCAACAGTCTGGTTGGATGGTTGGAATTCAGAGTGGGATTTCGGTTACAAAACCATTGGATACTTTGGGAGTTTACACGTGCTAGAATAGCAGAAAACACATTTGCGGTGGTTAAATTTTCAAAATTTACTCCGGGAAAGTATACCCCCGAACCCAGCGACGATTGATTGGTTGTTTGGAATTCCGGTCAGCCAGGTAGGCTATATTGGACCAAATTGAAGTTGCTGTATTCACAGGCTGGAATAGCAGGAAAACGCGTTTGTGGCAGTTAAATTTTCAAAATTTTCTCCTAACGGTCCCGTCTTCGTGGATTGTAAACGATTGATTGGAATTCGAGTCAGCCACCTGAGGGGGTGGGTGGGGGGGGGGGCAAGGTAAGCTCCGCTCTCTTCGCCTCTCAAGGAAGACAGGCGCTCTCTGTAAACCCGAAATTTTTTTCGGGCATATCGCGTTCTGCCCCCCCCCCCCTTTAGCTGTCATCGAGCCCGTACGCCTATTCTACTCTTATTTTGAATTCTGTCAAGGAATCTTTTACATGTACTTCAACGAATCGAATAGACAATGTCCTTGCCAGGCCCTCCGTCCGAAATTGTTGACAATAAAGTCTTTTGACCTGCAATAAAGTCTTTTTTTTACACTCTGTTATTCATGGAGGGTTGTAGCAGGGAAGAGCTCATCTTATATTCAGAGGCCTACAAAAGAAAGAAGGTACAGGGTTTAAAGCGGTATTATTCATAAAGAAATTGGGGAGTTTAAAAGGGTATCCTAACACAGTTTTCAGATCCAATAATTATGTATCTTTAGATTATGTAATACTAATTAAATAAATGTTGTTAGAAAGAAGAAAAAACAAAACAGCGTCACTATCTGATATTTAGACTTACATTCATGCAAATTTTATTTCAATACGACCAATATTTACCTTGCATAAAAAGTCTAAACACACTATATCTGGCTTGAAAGTATAACGAAGCATTATACACATTTTAGCTATTGAGCTTACTTTCGAGTATTTACTATATGAAAATACAACTGGATTTGAATGAATATGATAATGTTTTCAATATTAAATGAGGGCTTAGAAACAGACACCCATTCAAATGATTTTTAAAAATGTTTACCTTGAAATTTCAGTGTGCATAAATATCTTTTTAAAATGCATGTACCGGTAGCACATTTGAAGTTGGCAAAATGCTGAGACCATTTATTAAGGTCTGAATTTTATAGAGAATTTCCTTGGACTCTTAACTGAATTTTCCTGCATATTTAATGAAGTTAATAAAAACATATTTTTTTTTATTTATTTATACACGTATACGGTATATCTAATAATCATTACCTATTTAGTGTAAATGGGTATTAAAATAAGTAAAATTCACCATTTAGCCCGAATCAGTAACGTCTTATGTAAACAATGCGCGCGCTATTGACGCCGCGTGATGTGACGTATCTGTTACGTTTCTATATAACTCTATGTCTGTTACACAGAGATATTAGAAGATCTCTGTGAAACAGATTGAAACGACCAATCGGACTTCCTTTCTAGTACAGTTCTATGGTTAAACCGTTTTATTCAGCTGACAACGAACAAGGGAGGTAAATGTCGCAGTGTTCAATGGCGTTGTCTCCCTTTGCACTATTACAAGTTATTACAAAGCCGTTTGATATAAAACATGCGATACCCGGTATTATTAAATTTACTGCTGTGTCAGTGGTGAAAGGTGATAATTATCATGAAAGGAAGATGAAAACCGTATTAATGTAGAATAGGTCAATGTGTGTAAGTACAAAACACAATATTCAATATTGTAATCAAAGTATGTGGATTAACTTGATTATAACAATTAAAGGTCTGAAATTAAAGATGCTATAGTGCTACATGTAAATTTAACTTGTACTTGTACTAGGCTACAATATAACCTTGTGTTGTGATGGACGGGAAATCTTCCTTTGTATTTTCGTTGAATATAAGCAGATTGTTTTCCCTCTAGTAGATTGGGTGGAGCTTAACCGTGCAATAACTAGACATGTTCAATGTTTATTGCACTCTTTTGCTGGTTTACACTAGTTTTACTTGTTTTAGTAGAAATCATAGGCTATACAGAAGTGGGGTGGGTTTTCTGTGCAATAACAACAAGCATGTTGAGCAGGTGCCAATGTTACAAGTCATTTATAGCCTGTTTCATTCGTTAACAGGGTTAACATCTCGACCTGTGGTCTTGATGGATGTTTAAACCTAGACTCATGAAAGCTGTGCTATAAATATAACATAACTAGCCCATAAATAAAACAAAATCTTCAACATTAAAAAGACGAATTAGCATTTGGTATTGGTCTATTTCCATCAATATTCATCAATAATGATGTTGTTATCTTACCAAGAAAATAGAATTTGATATTGGTCTATTTCCATCAATATTGATTACCAGGCTCCAATATTTTCAGCACAATGAAAATTTAAAAACAGTGACAGGTTGTTTTCTCTTTGGCAGACTATGGTCTCGAGCCCATTTGTAATGAGGTGCCTTGGGTGAATGAGACAAAAGACTGAGGTTCACCCGTCCTTAATAGATGACATTTGAGAAGAGTGGACGGAAATGCTGTTGTCCAAGCTAAATTCTCTCTGGCTCTTATGTAGAAAGTGACCTATAAGTATTGTGTTGGCAAGACTTTAAATGTTATTCCCTTCTAAATTTTATTCTGTCCTTACAAGAGGCTTTTATTCGGATAAGGTACCGTGCAGTATCTATATAAGGCAGTATCTACATATAGAATTTGAATATATACTTAAGTGGGTCAAAGTTTTCTCATTATATATAGGCCTAAGATACATTTTATTGTGTAAAAAATATCTACGAGGGCAGCATAAAGAGTAGAATAACGTCTGTGTACACATTGGTTCTGTAAATAACACCTGAGTAAAATATATAGCCTAGAGCTCAATGTACAATAAATAATTAGAAAAATATTCATATAGATGAGACTTAATACACAGTGACAGTCTATATGACACTCACATACATTTTGTTACACTATAAATAGAGTGAATTATAAAAAAATTCAGTACCAGTATATATACATGTAGCTGAAAAACAGGTAATTATAGAATGGGCAGAGATCAATATTATGTTTGCCAGGATATAGCCCAGCTGGTGCTGATGAAAAATATTTCACTTCTTGCTGTGTTCTGATTGTTGTACTGTGTTATGAATCTAAATAACTTTTTCTTTTTGAATTGAAATAAATTGTTTTGTTTCGGTCCTTTAAATTGAGTGAAAATAGTGATGGGAACCAGTTGCCATTTTATCACTGATGATTGAAAATAGGGTAAGAAATCATATTTTAGAGACAAATTCAATGAGAGCTATCAAAAGAGGGCTAGGGGATAGCTCCAGGCTTCCACAAATTTGTGCAATCAACATTTGTAGTAGCTTACTGGTTTAATTGTGATAGAAGTGTGTTAGTATGAATCTTTGAGATGTCAAGTATTTATGAAAAAGTCTTAAGGCAACACTTTGGTACTTTGTTGTTATGTATAGAAAGCTTTGTACAGAAATATAGAAATACAATGGGGTTTAACGTTCTACTGTTCTGCTCCGACTGGGCTAATGAAAACTGGCATACACCATACAATGTGCTATGAGGGAAATTTTGTGGGGCAGACCTACTCTTGTATCGAATTCCAACTGCCAAGGGATCTTAAGTACGTGAATGCCAATGTGTAAATGGGACTTCATTTCTTTGTCCCTTACGAATGACTAGACAGCTGTCCTTGTCAGGCCCTATGTTCTGCACCACTGACAAGGGAAAACCATGCCGGAAAATCTCGACGAACGTTCGCAGCCAACACCAGGATTGAACCCACAACCTCTAGGCTAGCGAGCCAGTATCTTACTCACTTAGCCCCTGTGGCTCCCACAGAAATATAGACTGGTTCCCGAGATCTACTCTGAAAATGACACCCACCCCCAGATCAGACTTATTCTAATCCTATGCAGAAAAACAGACAGAAATACAATTGTCAGTAAAGTCTAAAAAGCAAAAGCCATCACGTCAGCATACAACTGATGAGTGTACAAATTTGATGCATGGCTATAGGCTATAATATGCAGGAGAATAATAAAGACCGTAAAATTCTGACAGTTTTTGTTTCAACTATAGTGGCATCTGTTGGTGTTCTTCTATATTGTATTTTGAGCAGAATAACATTGTCATATCTATGATACAAAAATGTGACAGTTTATATTATCATAGCCCTGGGCTATCTATATACATGTAGTATTAGTAACCTTTTTATTACTACTAGCCGACAGTAGCAGGGTGACCAGAAATAACATTGATGTCCCACAGTGATAATCCTATAAACATTACAGCTAGACAGTTCAACTAAAGTTTAACACTTTTTGTTCATGTATAAATATAAATTTTGTCTGTACTTTGTTGAAGTCAGTCAGAAACTTCTGTTTAAGTGCAGGTAAAGTCATATTGCTAATCAGTAACATTGTTCATTTAATGTAGTCTTTATATCCAAACATATTTTCTGTCAGATTTTTTGCCATTTTATTACTATTGTGATGTAAATGTCATTTAATAATGTTATCATTTTGTTATATTCTCTAACCATTTCCCCATCATTTTTTAAAGCCATTTTAACGATCATTTATTTAGAAAAATAAAACTTTTAATATTTAGAAAAATAATACTTTTGATATATTATATTTTGATATATCTTTTAGCCATTTGCTGTTATCTTGATATTTTTTAAAGATTTCACAACTCCAATAGTAATAATCATTTTACATAATTTCAGACTATGATTCAACAGCCATCATGATGAGCCTACATGATCCCGAGGCTATGCTGTTTGATGCCATTTTTTGTGGGAATGTCTTCAAAGTAAAGCAGCTTATTAACAGTGGAATTAACAAAAATACAGTTCTTCATAGTCCAATAAGATGGGAAGGAGCTACTGTTTTAGGTACAGCAGCCTATTCGGGCAATATTGAAATAGTAAAGTTTCTTTTGGATGTTGGAACATCAATCAATTTTCAAGATCCGTGCCTTTCTAGAAATGCCCTTCATTGGGCAAGTATGGGTCCTGGTTCTAACGTGGTAAAATATCTCTCCGAGTGTGGAGCCGATGTGAATTGTTCTGACAGAGATAACATGACTCCATTGCTTCAGGCAGCCATGAACAGACATAGCGAGTCTGTGTGTATTCTAGTCCAACAAGGAGCTGATGTTGACCAGATGGACAGACTGCGATGTTCAGCGTTGCATTATTCGTCTATAAATGGAGACCAAAAGTCAATTACAGCAGTTATCAAAGGAGGGTGCATTTTAAACAATCCAGCAATATTTGGTCGAGGTACAGTGCTGGCTAATCTAGTTTATCACAAAGATTATTATAATTGTTATCTGTTGTTAGAAGCTGGTTATAATTTTTCGAAGGATGATTGGATTAATACCATAGACGATAATCAGGGTAATGAGATAACAGATATGATTAAATTGTATAAAAGTTCACCAATGTCCCTCAAATCTCTCAGTCGGTATGTAATAAGAACTCGTTTGAAACCGTCCCTGCAGAAAAAAGTGTCCAAACTTCCCATTCCAAAAAGACTTCAAAACTATATCATGTTACGGTAATTTGTATAAATCATTTCATTTTCTATACTATCATATTTTGCGAAAGTTTAAGATGCATTATGTAAAATTTAGATAAATAGCTGGCTGTTCTTGCTATAGTAGTTCAAAAATAGATTTGATGAAAAATTAATATACTGAAAATCTCATTCAAATTACTTTATTCTTCAAACTTATGACTGTTTGAAGAAGTAGCGTAGATGTTTTTTATACTCCCACATGGAAAAGTGATGTACAATAATTAATAGAATACAATATCAAAAAAACGTTGTTTTATCCAACGTTTTGTCAGTAAAAATACTAACTTCTTCAGGGATGAAGAACTAAATACAAAATGACTGGAAGTCAGTTATGACATCATAGGAAGTTATGACATCATAGGAATGATGTCATGGACTTGAAAATGAAATGAAATGGGGTTTAACGTCCTACTGTTCTGCTGCGACTGGGCTAATGAAGACAGCCATTGCATATGCCATACAGTGTTCTTTGAGGGAAATTTTGCCCGGACAGCAGCGTTACAGTCTACTCTTCTATCGAATTCCAACTGCCAATGGATCTTTTACATGCACGCCAATGTGTAGCCTACTCTGAACCTTGTTTTTTTTTTATCCCATCCGAATGACTAGACATCTTTCCATGTCAGGCCCTCCGTCCTGCACCACTCTTAGACTTAGATACACAACCTGAAAGGTTAGCTTATGCTATACAATAAAGGTAAAAATTTACAAGTAAGGAAAATTATTCATGATTATGAATGATTTTAAAAAAAACCTGGATTTGGCCAAACTGAATTAAGTCTATGAATCCACAGACTTTCTGCTGTGTCCAATTTTTTCTGATCTTTATCAGGAATTTTTTGTACACATATTGCATTTTACAGGTTTTACATGTTAAACAATAAACAACATCCAAGTAATGGCACAGTTGACAGAGTCTCTTATATTGAATGATTTCATGTCTTTACTGGTTATTTCTTGATTTGTACACATTTGGAATAAGAGTAAGCTTTATATAAAAGCTGCTGTCCGGGCAAAATTTCCTCATACCAAACTAGCAGAACAAACCTCATTTAATTTCTGTTTACTCCACTTCATTTTGCATGAAACGTGATTGGTTGATACCTGAGTAACCTACCAGTCAAAACTTTTATAAATTCTGCCAAATCTTTTGAGCAGCTTTGATTATCCAAACATTTGATTGAATGTCTAAATCGAGGTCAAAGCTAAAAACCCATGAGTGACCAATCAAGAAAACGTAACAAAAAAAAGCATAGTTTTAATTAGAATGTTACTAGTGTACTTGTCAAACAGTCAATAAAAAAATCTGGCCCAGTCGTTACGTGATATGTGCCGGAATAAATCCGATATTTGTGAGTCATATGCCCTGATGGCTGAATGAGGAAGGTGCTGGCTCACTAACCAGGAGGTCCCATTTCAAGTTATAACAACATATAAGGATACATAGCAAAGGTCTGTATGCTATCATAATTTGCATAGCATTGCCATATATTGAATTACAATATGTTCAATTTTAATCAAGACACTGTACTAAACATACAACAACACAGATCTTAAAATGAAAACACCACTTTGCTTTATTAAAAGCTTGGTGCGTCATTTTAGTGGTATAGAATCCCTCGCAAACTACATTATTTTGAAACATTTAATCTCCAATAGGAATATCAGTCCAAGAATTGTTCAATTCCTTTCAGTATTTACAAAGTTATGATAAATTGAAATTTCATCAATCTATGCTGCTCGCTATTTGCAAAATGCTTCCCTCTTTTATTTGTGGGGGGTTGGATGGCCGAATGGTTAACACATTATGTGCACTGTGTCATAAGGTCTGTCATTGAGTCAGCTGGCATGGTTTTGATTCCCGGGTTGTATGTGACAAGGAGTAGAGTCGCCTGTCCAACCTCATGGGTTTTCTCCGGGTTCTCTGGTTTCCCCCCACTGCTAAAGACGCCTACGCGCAAGCAAATTATTGAAATAAAATTGAACTATATGTTAGTCCCAAAATGACCTAGCTTAAGCTTTCCAAAATTTAATCATATAAGCTTAGTGTGTTTCCCATAACATCAGATGAACCCATTTCAACACTTTAATTAATTTTTTACATAATATTATTTACTGAAATTTTATTCTAGTCATTTAAGAGGTATGTTATATTAAAAATGCAAAACTAACTCATACTTAGTTTGTCAATATGTATTTTTTGTTGTTTTAATGTTAACACTGGAAGCTGATCCCTATTGTTGGCCCCTGGGTTCGTCCGTCTGTCTGTCTGTCGGTCCGTCACTCTTTTTGGGACACAATAACTCTCTTTCTTATTGAGCTAGAATGTTCAAACTTGGTGTAGGTGTTTATTAGGTCAATGCCTTGATGAGTTCGAAGATGAGCATTTTCTGCTTTGGGTAAGCAGAGATATGAAATTTGATTGGTTGATGCTTTGGGACATGATAACTTTAGTTCAAATTATGTGATAGTGTTGACACTTGGTGTATAGTTTTATCACATCAATAACTTGACTAAGTTCGATAATGAGCATCTTCCGCTCAGGGTAAGCAGAGCGATAAGCAATTTGATTGGTCGAGACTTTGGAACACAATAACTCTCCTTATTGAAGTAGAATGTTCAAACTTGGTGTAGGTAATCCATGAGTGGCATTTAGTGATTGAGCACATTAAAAAACACAACACAATTTATATGGAATACAATCACTGGTTTATACTATACACATATAGCACAACGTTTTGACATGGTCAAATGGTTAGCACGTGCGTGCTGTATCATAAGGCCTGTCATTGAGTCAATTGGCATGGTTTTTAATCCCCAGTGACAATCAGTAGGGTCGCCTGTCCAACCTCGTGGGTTTTCTCCGGGTCCTCTGGTTTCCTCTCACTGCTAAAGACCCCTACGTGCAAGCAAATTATTGAAATAAAATTAAACCATATGTTAGTACCTAAATGACCTAGTTTGTGTTAAACCCCATTTCTCTCTCTTATCGTTTAACCAGTGATTGTATTCCATTTAAATTGTGTTTTTTTTTTCTTGGTGTAGGTGTTCATTAGGTGAATGCCTGGATGGAGTTCGATGATAAACATTGTCGGCTTACGGTAAGCAGTGATAAGCAATCTGATTGGTTGTTGCTTTGGGGCATGATAACTTTAATTTTAATTAAGTGAGAGGGATGAAACTCGGAGTATAGATTCATTATATCATTACCTTGACTAAGTTCGATGATGAGAATTTTCTGCTTAGGCGAAGGAGCAATAAGCAATTTGATTGGTCAAGACTTTGGAACATAACACCTCTGCTTTTAATTGAGGTAGAATGTTTAAAGTAGCTTCTCTATCTCAATATCATCTAAAACCTTCGACATTGAAAACACGAATTATTTGTCAATTTAAATCAACATTGATGTTGTGATCTTACCTGAAAAAGATGGGCTTCTGATATCCAATATTTAAGACAAACTAAACGTTTTACAATTGGTACACGAATCGTGTACCATAATGCTTTTCAGCACCATTTGTAATAAGGGACTCGAAAAACAAGGCTAGGCATATTCCACAAGTCATGTCAAATGGTGACACAATATTCTTATCTGGAGAGCATGCACAATGAATACTATTGGTATAGACTGGAATAACCAGATGCTACAGATTACCATTCGATTGAGACTTCTGGGTATTTCGCCGAACATAACTGATTAGAAATTACAGTAAAAACAGAAACGATTGAATGTAAATCAGTTTATATACATACATATTACATTATCATATGCGTTGCGACCCATTAGCGATTTAGCCCCTTTAAACTTGATGTAGATGTCCCTTAGGTGAATGTCTTGACTGAGTTCAATGATTAACATTTTGAGCTAAACTTATATGTGTATAGTTGATAATCAGTTTGATTGCTTGATACTTTTGAAATCAATTAATATGTGTCATCTATTTATTTTGGGATTTCGGTGGGGGACATTATCCTCACTGTTGGCTTGTTTATTAACATTTAAGGCATAAAGAAAGACCTGCAGTAGGCACATTTAGCTCTTGCATAATGCCTGTTTAAGTGAAGCTCAAGTGTATAGAATGTGTATGCCTTGTATATTGATGTTAAAATCAATAAATGGTTATGTGCATTAATATGCTTTTGTTTATTTTTCTACAAAGAATATGAAATATTTACTAGTGAAAAGTATGAAATGTTATCAATGCTTATATATTTTTACCAGGGTAGGTAACTTAATTATAATCAATTTTAAATTAATATTATCATTCATGATGCATTTTAGCGTGTCATTATGACATATTTGAACAGGCATAACATGATAAATAAATAAACATTTTTATTGTAAATATTCCAGTGATGAATATTTACCAGAAGGTACTTTATTGCTTTCATGACTCAACTTTACTGGAGTATTTATTATTCTGGTCAGATATTTATGGATATTGTTTTGTCAAACTAGAGTGTAAAATCATTTATGCAAATTTCTGGAATAATTGAACTTTGATTAGACTAAAGTTTGCTGACTAGTCAAGTCCCCATCCCTACCCCTCATATCAATATAGTTAGGATATAACTAGAATTTAATTTGAATAGGGTTTGGGGGAACAAAGTTATTTCAAATTTATGAGGCTGGCCATGCTGTAGCTAAATTGGTATTGAATATATGATTTAAATGTTACATTGGTGAGAAACTTTGAACTGTGAATTGGTATCATAATTATATTTGAATAAATTTTATAATTTTATGCTCAGTGTATTGATTATTAAATATATAATCATAAATCAAATCATCATATGCATATTATCTTTTTGAATTATTTAATTTATCTTTTTTATTTTTATTTTTTTCAAATCATTGTTGTTAAGCATTTCCTTTTTGGTATTATCTTTGCATTTGATACAATAAAAAATATATCAGCCTAGTTTACTTGATATATTTTTTTTATTATGAATAAAATATTTATCTTAAATATAGTTTAATTTGTTTCCAATATTTAAAGGTGCTGGGGTGGGGGTGGGGATGGCCGAATGGTTAGCGCATGCCCGCTGTATCATAAGGTCTGTCATTGAGTCAACCGGTGTGGTTTCGAATCCCCGGTTGTACGTGACAAGGAGTAGGTCGCCTATCCAGCCTTGTGGGTTTTTTTCCAGGTCCTCCGGTTTCCTCCCACTGGTAAAGGCCCCTACACGCATGCGAATTATTGAAATAATAACTGAACCAAATGTTAGTCCTGAAATGACCTAGTTTGTGTCGAGTGGACGTTAAACCCCATTTCTCTCTCTCTGAACAGAGCGTCACAGTATACCATTAATTTCCCTAAAGGTTAATTCTCGTCTTTTTGACCGGCTCTAACTTTTCCCAAAATTTTCATTGGGTTGAATCATTGAATGCTTTCTACAACAGATGGTGCGATATGTTGCAAGGTCCCAATGAGGTTCACCATTGTCTAAAATAATCTGTGATTAGGTCTAATCAGTAACTAGCTAGTTAGAGATTAGTGATTGAATAAGTTTGACATTCTCAAAAGTTAGGTAATCGTTGACTAGAATTTTTTTCAATCAAAGCTTAAAATAGATTTATTAATTTTGATTATAAATCAACCATTTAATCAATAATGTAATAAATCAGTGATTAAAGAGGTTTTTATCATTGATTAAAGGGGTTCCAATGGTAAGAAGTAGATTTGAAGAAAACATCCTTTAGAACAGAGTTTCTGTTTTCCAACCTTGGAAATATTTAGGGGATACCTAAAATCAAAGGGGACCTCGATGGATGTGGAAAAAAATGGCCATGTATAATATGGTATGAAATTTTTGGTATTTGGACAAAAATCTTCAGTAGCTAATATCAGGGGCATTAAACCTCATTTGCGACAAGTGATCAAGTTGAATCCACATTATCAGAGTGGGGCATTAAACCTCATTTGCCACAAGTGATTCAAGTTGAATCCACATTCAGATCTTCAGATGGAATAAAGGCACAGTAAAAAAACTTATTTTAGATCTGGTGCCCACTTTTATCAATTTTTTTAATGGGAGTTGTAAGGTTGATGTTATAGTCTTCACTACAATGAAAAAGTCTCTTGGAATAACTTTCAATAAAATAGGGGTTAACGCCCTACTTTTCTGTACTGACTGGGCTAATGAAGATAGGCAAACGCCATACAGTGTGTGAGGAGGGAAATTTGCCCAGGCAGCGGCACTACTGCCTACTTCTATATCAAATTCCAACTGTCTTGGGTTCTTTTATGGGCATGCCAATGTGTGAGACCTCAGTATTTTGTCCCATCCAAACGACTAAACAGCTGTTTTTGTCAGGTCCTCCATCATGCACCACTGACAAGAGGAAACAATGCAGAAATATCCAAAGGAACTTTCTCGGACAACCCCAGGAGCGAACCCATGACCTACAGGCTAGCTAGCCAGCGTCTTACTCACTGAGCTACCGCAGCTCCAAGAATGTCACTAACTCCTTTAATGCCACAAATGTGACCGTTAAAGAGAAAGCTCCAATCCATATCAATATTCCATTTATAGGCCCACCAAGTTATAAGATTAAAAGATTACTAACTAGATTGCAAATAGATGTAACATTTAGTGGAGGAGTTTCATTAAAATCACTGATCAATGCCAATGGGAGAATGAAACTACCAAATGTGGACCCAAAAGGTATAGTGTACCAGATCCAATGCAATAGCAAATCCATGTACATAGGGGAAACATGCCGCCTGTTATGAGTAAAACTCGAAGAACACAAAGCAGCAACAAGACGTATGGAAGCCAACAAATCTGCAGTAGCCGAACATATCATAGACATTCATACCCTATCCCAAATTTGTGTTATTATGAATATTATACCTCTACTTCTAAATGACATTCAAGGAACTTGCTATTAGTATTTAGTTGACTAGAAAAGTTTCCCAAATGTGCTGTCCTCGATACACTTGGCTAGACTGGTTTTGATTGTACAAGCGGGGAATCGAAACCACACCACTTGACTGAATAACTGACCTTATGATGCAATGCACATGCATTAATTATTTGGCCATCCACCCTACCCCCCTCATGAATATAACTGAGGTGTTGACAATATTATGGCCACATTAAGTTGGGTAAATAATGTAAATACAAGTGGTAGTACTCAAATTTGCTACTTGCTAGTCCCAAATTTTATTTGTTATTTATTTTTCATAGCTGAAATGAATTATATATTTGGGTCGTTGGCTGAGTTGTAGAAAGTGAGGTTAAAAATAAGACAAACTTATTTAGCCATCAAACCCCAATGTACAGGACACCCACCACTATATATAACTAAATGACAGGATGATTTGACCTTTGTAAGTGGACTTTTAGAATCGTTTTGAAGAGTGTTACAAATATGTTGATTTTTATGAACTGAACTCGCAGTGTGACCTTTTAAATAAAAGTTAGTTAGTTATGATAACTCCTTGAATGAGAAGTGACACTGCCTCGTGTATGACATCTGTCACATCTTATAGCTAATTTGAGGAATCGTTGGTCAAAAATAACTTTGGGATGAAGGCCGCCAGCAGAGACACAAAACCAACGGTTTAAACACAAAATTACATCTACTATTGTGGACTACTGTAAGAAATGGAATCGGGTTCCAAAAAAGACTGTCTGGGGTACTCTGTCTGACATTGACTTTGAAACTATCCGTTAAAAACTGTAGCCTCTACGTTCACAAAATTTTCTGAAAAGGCGGATAACTCTGAAACGGAAGTTACCAGAATGCTGATGGACGGAGAACAGAGTAAATCGATACGGCTCAGTATGTTAAAAACTGTAGCCTCCATCATGTTTACAAGGTTTTTGGCAAAGGGAGGTTGCAGAACACTGAATATTGATAACCAAATTCCCCCAAAAAATCTGTTAAAAACCATAGCCTGTATCGTGTTCACAATGTTTTTGGAAAGGGGGGATAACTGCTGAACGGAACGTACAATGCGCACCAAAATCAAACTAATATTATTTTTGACAGAAAAATGTTGTCATGTCTGTCAGGTTATGAAAAGGGCGAGATTTTACATGTCCCCAATCAGCCACCATGTAATTGTAAACAGTGCCATTTGTTACCATGAGCGTTAGAATTATGATACCTTTACTGCATAAGAATTGTGAAATGTCAAAATGTTTATAAAACTAAACTGACTAAAATAAATTAAAAGTAATAATGGAAATAGAATAAAATACAAATTATAACTGCAATAGTTAAGAAATAAGCTATATAAATTAGCATTTTTACATCTGCAACATGCCAATTTAACTAAGAATGAAGTGACATGCATAGAAGTAAGCATATTGCATACACGTATTACTAGGATAGGAGTTAGAATTATGACATAAAATCTGCTTCATATTTATGGACTACTTGCATGACTTACCTACTGTGGGTGTATGTTCAGTTGCCTGGTAATTTATCTTTGACAGCCTCAAAATATATTTACCTTGCTCTGCTCAGTGAAATTAATGTTCCCTTTTTGAAATTGATCCTTATTCCCACATTTATAACAAATCTTGAATCCATTTTATTTATAACCCCTCTGTGTTATGCCCAAATTTAAATACAAGGGGAAACCGTTTTATTCAAAACCATCCATAGTGGCCACATCACATTCTGATTTTACTATTTGAATGATACAGTTTTTGATGCATTTTCTGATTTCCAGATAGATAGTGTAAATCTTTCAAATCAATATATTTTCCTTTATTAAACTTATGCATTTAGGTCATCTTGTATTCCAATACACAATATATTAACTTATTTCATTACATTTAATTCTCAGAAAGTTCTAATGAACTGACTTGTCAGAATGTGAAGTGCATAATTATAATAACAAAGAGATAGTTATTAGATAAATTCCTAAACATGTCTTTCTGGCCATGAATGACTCAATTATATAATTAACATGTCATGTGTATATGCATTAGTGTACAGGCCTGGTTGGGGGAACATTGCCAAGTTCCAGGATGATCCATTCAGAATTGCGACCTGTAGGCGATGAACACAAAAATTGGACATGGCTCTGCCCCTGGGAATTGGACAAGGATGATATAATTAGGTAAAATTCTGTTATTGAAATGATTGGCCATCCCAATTTGAACAAAATATGTTAATACTTGCGACCTGCAGAGACTTTACAGGTTTGGGCATGCACCAAAATCAATAAGAATTAAGAATTGCATCCTGTAGGCAGTACACAGACACACATTATGAATGTGGACCTATAAAAAATAGAGACATTGAATATATGCTCCATCCACCAAATCAAACAGTACCCAGCCCTACGCTAACATATGATTCTCTTACAAAGAAGGAACCTGAAGAAATAACCTGGTAAGGCAGGTGACCTTATTTTTGGTCACATGTATTTGTTGGATCAAAAACATAATCACTTTGGTAACAGAACAAAGACAAGTTTCACTTTGATTTAAACAATATGACCATCTAATCTTATATATTTTGTTCTTAATATTTACTGCAAGCTTTTTCAGTAAATGTTCTCTTAAATGATAATATATGCAAAGATAGAATTTCCTTATTTATTGATCACTGGTAGATGGTTTTTCTATTGGTTTGTAATTTTTTGTCTTCTGTTTTTCCTTACGAATTATTATTTTTTCCTTCTTCTTTTTTCGTTCACAGTATTCTTTATAAATCTTATTATTGTCTTTAAATTTACGTTTTACTTCTTCTTTTCTTTGGGCCTCAGCTTCAGGATCCTACAAAATATGATACACTAGGTTAAAACCATAAAAACACACAGCTTTCTGTCCTTATCTCTCATTTCAATTTATTTTAACAGCCACGCTTAATATTCAAAATTTTGTATAATCAACCCAACATCAGTGTCTGACTGTCTCTCATTCTCTGGCATTTATTTGTGACTCTTACAAGCCCACATTTGGATGTATTATGTCGTCGCCCCTTGTCCGTCCGTCCGTTCACATTTGTTTGTGGACCCTCTACAGGTCACAATTTTTTTATCAGATTTCGATAAAACGTAAATTTATGTTAAATATGTGTTAAGATTTTGGAGTGCATTGGCCCTTCTGTTCTGAAGTTATGCCCCCTGCCTTTTAGACAAAATGTGAAATGTGTACAAAGTTTGTAGACCCTCTAAAAGCCACGATTTAGACAAAAAATACTGGATCAGTTTGATTTTGGTGCGCCCCCTCCCCCCTTTTCCAAAAATATTGTAAACTGGATTAAGGCTATTTCTTTAACAGATTTATTGGTGTCATGAGAGTACGTACCCTATCGATAATCAGCTTTCACGACCCTTTGTCCCAGAGTTATGCCCCTGTAGCCCAAACTTTGTGAATGCAAAAGACCACAGTTTTTAACTGATCTTTATTAAACTGAGTTCATGAGAGAACAAACCCAATAAATATTCAGCATTCCTCAACCTTCTGTTACAGAGCTACCCCCCTTTGCTGAAAACCTTGTGAATGTGATAGAGGCTACAGTTTTTCACAGATTTATTTCAAATTTTGTGTAAAGCATTGGGGTCATGAGAGGACAGAGAGAGAGTTGGGGTTTAACGTCCACTCAACACAACTAGGTCATTTCGGGACTAACATATAGTTTAATTTTATTTCAATAATTCGCTTGCGCATAGGGGTCTTTAGCAGTGGGAGGAAACCGGATCATGAGAGGACAAATTCCATCGATATTCAGCAATCCATGACCATCTGTTCCCCCGTTATCCCTCTTTCCCGAAAACCTTCTGATGATTATAGAGGCTACAGTTTTTAACAGATTTTTTTTTCTAATTCTATGTGAAGCATTGGGACAAAAGAGGATGAACCCTATTGATTTTCCCTGTTCTCTGTCAATCTATTGCAAAATGTGGGTGTATCTTGCACGGCAACCACTTGTTTAACATTTTTGTTTAAAATAACAAAGAGCTTCATCACACTGGCTTCAAAATTAGTTGTTAATAAAAGGTGATGGTGGGGTGGGGAATATAAATTAATAAGCATACCTCTCCATCCATTATTATTCTTTTTCTCTTGTTTAAAATTTTTTGTTGCCCAAAATCTCTTTCGTCTAATCTCTATAAGTAAAATTACAGTATAAGTGTAGTATGTAATCTGGGCCCGGTACCTAGAAAATTCTTAAAGTAAGCAAAAAGTCATGCTTCACTTTTTCTTACGTAAGAAACTTTATAAAATACCGTCTCTAGAAAATTCTCAAGACCATTCTTATGTAAGCACAAGTCAAGAATGAGTCAAAGCACATTGTGACCAGTAAATTGAGACTATGATGCTCTCTAACTACATAAAAACAATTTTGGTATGTAAATTATGTCATAAATTGGTTGGCTGCACCGAGTTATAAATAGATCAATAACATTAACTTCCCGGCAAATGGTTGATTTAGATGCATTTGACATGTCCCCTATAGTATAGGGCCTATACACATATACAATGTGCCACAAGCTAAAAAAAAAACCCAAGCACATGCAAACAGACTGAATAATTGTGAGAGCGCCTGATCTTAAAGTAGCCCATATTTGTGTTGTTTACTAATTGTCAAATAGAGGTATCTTGAAAAAGGGTATTGCCCCCGAACCGTCGATCTATTAAAACGATCCTCTACTTCTAACAGTCTGTTGTGGTTTTCTGTTGAGCGGGGATTCCTTAATTTTAATTGTCAAATAAATAAAAAAATTCTAATATAGCATTCTTCTCGGGAATATATTTCTAAAGGATTTTCTCTATCTTTTAATTGTCTCTCTGGTATCTTGTTTGAAGGAGAAACAGTCTTAAGGTTGGTAAGCAAGCTGTATACCGTGCTTGGACTTGTGCTTAGATTGACGATATTTAAGAACAAAGTTGTGCTTAAGTACTTTCTTGGAACACATAAGAATGTGCTTGTGCTTACCCTGAAGTCTACTTACAATCTAAGCACAAGAATGTTCTTAAGAATTTTCTAGGAACACAAAATAAGGTTAGTTTACTTAAATGAAAGTCTACTTAAAATCTATGATTGGTGCATAGAAAGAACCTACGTGGCCAATAGAATCATCAAGGGCAGATAATTAGAATTTGTGAATACCCCATAAATGGACCCAGGGGTTAGTGGGGTAGAACGGAACCATACCACTGCAATGGGGATACCGAGGATGGGATTGTATACACTATTTTAACATTTTATAAAAAAAAAATGAACAGAAGAACAGTGGAACCACCAAAAAAATGAGCTAAAATGTGTGAAATAAAACAAGCAAAAGCAATTTTTCTATACATTTGTTTAAGTTAAGAAAAGGTTTTCATAACTTACTATTTCTGCTTCTCTTCTTGAGACAGCTACTTCTGTTAATATATCCATTACTTCTGATTCTTCTGCTTGGTGTTCTTTCATTTTATAATCTTTGGAAAAACATATTAATTAAAATAACTCCAAACTTTATTACTGCAGAGGGGCGATTTCATAAACTGTTTTACATACAAATATTATATCAAGTTTTCACATACAATTACGATTTACAATGGAATTGAAGAACAGCCCATGCTATGTAGATCAAGCTCCATGTACTGTAAGTTACCAAGGAAAGGAAAGGGTGTTTTTGTAAGTTTATGTAACTCTTGTCCAATCGCTTAAAAATAACATGTTTCTACATCTTCCTAAATCACAAGTGTGAAAACTGTGCTAAACAAGCCAACAGTGAGGCTGATGTCCCCCCCGCCGAAATCCCAAAATAAAAAGAGGACACATATTAATCAATCACACATTTATTTTTTTCAAAAGTATCCAGCAATCAAACTATACACTAAGTTTCATCACTCTCTATCAGATAGAATCAAGATTATCTTCCCTGCTTAGCTTTAGCTCGAAATGTTAATCATTGAACTCAGTCAAGACATTCACCTAATGAACATCTACATTAAGTTTAAATTTTCTACCTCAATTAAAACCAGAGTTGTTATGTTCCGAGGTCTTGACCAATCAAATTGCTTATCGCTCCTTAGCCTAAGCAGAAAATTCGCACCATCGAACTTAGTCAAGGTAATGATATAATAAATCTATCTTCAAAGTTTCATCGCTCTCACTTCATTATAACCAAAGTTATCGTGCCCCAAAGCATCAACCAATCAGATTGCTTATCTCTGCTTACCATAAGCAGACAATGTTCATCATCGAACTCCATCAATGCATTCACCTAATGAACGCCTACACCAAGTTTGAACATTCTACCTCAATTAGAGAGAGAGAGAGAAATGGGGTTTAACATCCACTCGACACAAACTAGGTCATTTCGGGACTAACATATGGTTTAATTTTGTTATTTCAATAATTCTCTTGCGCATAGGTGTCTTTAGCAGTGGGAGGAAACCGGAGGACCCGGAGAAAAACCCACGAGGCTGGACAGGCAACCTTACTCCTTGTCACGTACAACCGAAGATTCGAAACCACCCCAGTCGACTCAATGACCGACTTTATGATACAGCGCGCGCTTGCTAACCATTCAGCAATCCAACCCCCCACCTCAATTAGAAGAAGAGTTATTGTGTTCCAAAGTCTTCACCAATCAAATTGCTTATCCCTCTGCTTACCCTCAGCAGGAAATGTTCATTATCGAACTTAGTCAAGGTATTGATGTAATAAAGCTATACACCAAGTGTCCTCACTCTCACTTAATTAGAACTAAAGTTATCGTGTCCCAAACCATCAACCAATCAAATTGCTTATCTCTGCTTACCCTAAGCAGAAAATGCCCATCTTTGAACTCCATCAAGGCATTGACCTAATAAACACCTACACCAAGTTTGAACATTCTAGCTCAATTAGAAAGAGAGTAATTGTGTCCCAAAACGTGTGACGGACAAACAGACAGACTGACGGACAGACAGACAGAGAGACAGACAGATGAACCCATTTTAATAGTCCCCTGCTTTCTTCGAAAGGCGGGGGACAAATATGTGTTTTGAAGCATAAGATTACAATTAAAAGAAAAGTGAAATGAATAAAATAAAATGGAGTTAAACATACTAATTTTCTGCACCTAATGAGAAGGGGCATACACCCAAACCATGCATGGTGCTATGGGTAAAATTTTGCCTGAACAGCATCGCTACAACCTACTCTTATGTTGAATTCCAACTACCAAGGGATCTTTTACATACTCGCCAATGTGTATACAGGACCTTGTTTCTTTTTGTCTCATCCGTCCTGCACCACTGAATGACAAGTCGAAACCATGCCAGAAAATCCTGAGAAACTTTCTCAGCAAATACCGAGACCTCCAGGTTAGAATGCTATAAGTTAATTACAAAAAATGATATTGGGAATGCTTACTTGTGAAATCTTCAATGGCATGAACAAGTTTAACATCAAATTGTGTAACCATGGTAATAGCAGTTCCACCTCTTCCTGGAAAATTTCACAATGGAGAAAATGTACACACTTTATTTTGTGATCAATAGAGAAAAGTTCATCCATACCAGTACTATGGCAAAGTAGTATGCACACATGACTCATAGACAGAGGTTTATACACCCACCACCAGAAAACTAATTATAATGATTGACAGGTAAGTACTAGGGCTTCCAATTCAAAATTTTCACTGTCGGTCATTTTTCATATTCCATGGTGTACACAAAAAATTATATATTGTACTTAAAACTGAAATATTAGTAAGGCTTAGGAGAGTTATCTATTAATGAAATATTCCCTTTTGGCAACTTAAATAATCGAAATAGCTGAATTGGCCAGAAAAATCATTCCAGTACCTCACACGTAGTGAAGCAGTCAAGATCCAGGATGTTCGCGACTACTTTGTTTTTTTTATATTTACTAATACTATCATATTACATTATTTGTTAGCGTAGGACATTGTCATTTCTATATATATTAAACATGTATTATATGTCCTATCATAGAAGTTTATAGTGTTATGTTCTCTCGTAATCATTTCTTTAAATACCTTAATTGTCCATACCTTTCTAACCAGGGTAATTATTTTTAGATTAGGGTAAAAGAGAACTCCTACTAGGGTTGGGACAATAATTCTCTTTTTCGTATGCTACTGTTCTGCAGGGGTGTTTCTGAGGCCAAATTGATTGAAAAATACAAAAATTGAAAAATTTTTGGTATCCGACCATTGTTTCGGTCGGAATGGGGCACATTTTCAAATGGCCGCCAAAATGGGTCCAATATAGCCAAAAATCGTATTTTTAAGCTATTACTTCGAATGAGTGCGATTTATTTTTCTAAATATAGATCTTTAATAGGATTTTCAACATATAAAACTTATATAAGACGTCACACAAAGCATTTCTCTTGCAAATAGCTCCTGGAATCCAATATGGCAGCCAAAATCCAAGATGGCGGCCATAAATTGCAGGGATTACTGGATATTTACAGAGTAGCGATAACCATGTCGTGTAACTCGTTTTACTTTTGAGTGGATTAATTTTGAGTTTTTTCTACACTAATTCTGACGTCAGAAAATGACGTCATAAATGGTGACGTGCAATAGTTCTTAGAAAAGAACAGACGTCGTCTGTTCTGATCAGTCACATACGTTTTCGATTTTCGTAATCATACATGTAGTGCCAATTTGTTCAACTAAGCTTATAATTGTTATTCACAATATGGAATTTCGCAGTTCTGGCGTGAGGAAAGAACTGTTTGGCGTAATTTACGACGAAGTACCTGGGTATGTAAAGGGCGCAAAGTTACCAACTGGCAAGTATTTATTGGGTAGAATGATGTCGCTGTGTAAGGAACCTACTACAGGGAGGAAAATAGTAAGCAGAGACGAAGCTAGTAAAATAGTTGCTGGTGAATTACGTTATGATTGGATCAGTAAAAATGTGTATCCGCTTAGTGAACGATCTGTGGCCAAACGTCTCCGTGAGGATTATGACTTTTTGCTCAATATGCGAAAACGCGAGAAAAGTTCGGGAAACAGATGTGATCAATGGCGCAGTAAAGTTTCAAATTTCAACGATAAAATGACCATCAGGGCGTATGATATCAGAGCCACTGACCCGTTGTACGAAAAACAACTGGAGACAGAATTTGATGTGAAAAAGACGCCCGAGGACAATGCATTTTATGAAGATAATTGAAAGGTAACTACATCGCCCGCTGTACTGAAACGGTTCCTCGTTATTGGCTAAAGCAGAAACGTAGGGTGGCAGCACGTCAAATATCACAAGAACAGACAAAGAAAGCTATCATTGATGAAAATGAGACTCAAATGGAAATCAACATGCGTGAAATCGTAGCTGCAATTAAAGATATACCGGAATCAGAAACTCGTGATCCTGGTTATGAAAATTTTGATACAGACTCCATCTGTACGTCATCACGGGTTTTGAAGAAATCGGACTCCGGTTCTGACTTTCCATCTGTCAAAATCCGGACAGGATATAAGACATTCAATGAGCCGTTGATCCGCTATCTCGTACAAAGTCTGTCAAAGTACTAGGTCACTACTAACGATTTATTAGGCATCTGTGTCGATTTGGCCAATGGAGTCTTTCATCAAAATTGGAAGATGAGTGACGATGAAGACATGGAACAAAACGATAGTGATGATTATGAAGACCAGGTGATGGATGATCCAAAGCGGCGAAGGCGATGTGACGATCGTACCTATATAATGCCTAGTAGAAAGTCAATACGAAACTACTTAGAGGATGCCTCTTACCTCAATTTGGAGATGGTAGCTAGACACCTTGCTGATAGTTCTGGTAACACAATCACTGTCGGCTTAGACGACACCACAAAATCGGCAGGCCATAGATTTTTCAACATCAAAACGGATCACATTACTGTAGCAGGACCAACAGCGGACAAGAAGACGTTTACAACTGGTTACACGGAAAACATTTCACATTCTGGTAAAGATGCCGCCAAGACGTACGATTTTAAACTGAAAAGTTTAGCAATTCTGGCCGATAGTTCAACTGAAGAGCTTAAAGAGCACATTGACTTTTGGATGACCGACCGTGCTGGCGATTGTAGCACCATGCTCCAATACCTCAATGTTGACAATGATAAGGTTCTGAAATGCTGCGCCCATATAATTCTTGGTGTGGATAGCGGTGTAGAAAAAGTGCTCAAAGAAACAGAGCAAGGAATCAGAATTGAAAAACTGATAGACTGCTCCAGTATTCTTCGTTCACCATCATCCAGTATTTTGACTGTCGGACTAATAGCTATCACAAAATTACTTTCACCAAGTCACGCAGCGCACTCTGTGTCTCTTTATAATGAATTTGTGAACTGGTTGGTTAAAGTGCACATAAGATGGTCCCAGAAGATTTGAGATACGTGTAGCCAATGGTTACTATATCCACTTTACGGCAAGTTCACGCCAATCTGGTTGAAATTAATTCAGTTATCTTCATTCAAAGTCGTAAAAATAGACCTTCCATAAAAACGGCTTTGCCAATTATCGAAAACACTCTTAATCCCCTCAGACGCCAGTGACATCACAGTGACCGAATGCATATTCGGAATGTTTATTCCTTAATTACCTATATACAGCCGGCGTGTGTATTCTTTAACGCCTGAAGGATTCCTTAATCCCCCTAATTAAATAAAACAATTGACTACGGAATAATTTGTTTTGTAATTCATTTTAATTTAAGATCCAATTTAGAGTGCCTACAACTTTTAAACTTTGAAGTCCTGAACTCTTAATTAATTTTTTACAATATGGAACTAATTGGACGAACACTTTTAATATGTAAAAAATATACGGGTCCAGTTATGTGGTTTTTACTGCGAGCACTTTTCCACATAAAGTGTAGTGTCGTTAATATCTCTCATTAATTAATCAATCCGACTATAAAAGTTATACAGGCATGGGTCATAAATTAATTTCAAGTTGGTGTTAGCAGTGAGTGTTAGTGGGATTAAGAATGTTGATTAGGTAATTATCTTTTTTTACCCCGGCTAGATCAAAGACATCACTCTCAGTGGAACGTGTGCGTAATACCTCACGAACGAACTAATGGTAGAATCATACACACACACATTAATTGTATAAAATAAATTAAGTTTTACTAATAAGTTGTTTAAAATTACTATATACCCAATAATTATTGCTCACCGGTGTTTTTGTAATCAAGTAGCCTCGTATTGTTTGTTGATTGGCGTTCAAACAACATTTAATTGATGGATGGATTAACGTTTTTGATACGATTAGGTTATAATGTCCAACATCGGTTATCTTCTTTATAATAAAAGTATTTTACAATTGCATCTCCTATTCTAACTTTCATTATGACAAAGTGAGAAGATGACCCGCCCTCTCTTCCCACGACAACGATTTTCAAGCCATTTTTAAAATCGTGTTTTAAAGTGATTTTTAGATATACAAGAACGTTTAATTATTTTAAATCTGTTTTAAAGTGACGTTTAGATATACAAGAACTTTTTATTATTTAGTGTTTTTACCTAACTTCTATTTTTTATTTAAGTAAATAACTTAATCAAATCAACCTGTCTATAATATCATGCATTATGTATTGGACGTTAAATTTGTAATAAACAACAACAACAACAGCATTGACAGTTTAATCACTCACCAAACGGCACCAGGAACTCCACGAATGATCCCGTGCAATTTTTGCGGCGAAGTTTAACCTCATTTACTACACCCGTAGTACATGGAACGGTACATGATAATAAGATACCAAGCGTTGATTGGCAGAGAAATGAGTGCGATCTATTGTAGATGTTATGCATAGTCATCAGAAAATTCCATATTCACTGTAGTTGTTCTTTATGTATAGAAATGGTTATTATTATTATATATAGCTAATAATGAATATATCGACAAATGACTGGCACCATTTGTATTTCTGTACTTAAGTTTGGGATATCAAGTATTACGGGGTTATCCAAATTAACGGTAAATGCGCTAATTTCTTGAGTCATCTTCATTTGACACGTGGCCTATTTAAACAAAGGCAGCTTAAATTGATCTACGGCATGATACAGCATTTTAAATTCACTCTAAAATATTCCAATCACAAATGTCTAATCTATACCAATGAAAGACGATAATTCGGTGATTATGATTAGGCCAGTCACGTGGTAATTGGACCGTCAATAGACGCTTGCCCAGTTGCCGTGTGTATTGATAGTGCTATATTGTACATACGGTGAGATACTGTATAGATAATGTATATCCTATGTGTAGTGCCTGTGACGTCACCAGCCAATCAACCGGATTAAGGTCGTAATTGAAAAATCGAAAAGCGTTTTGGCGTGTCGGATACTTAAACGTTAACAGCGGACTTAATTTTAATCAGATTGGTGTGAACTTGCCGTAACCATGGGCTATACATACATGAAATTTAGATTTTTGATCTTAAGTGGTCTTTAACAATAACTTAGAATCTAACGGCTTTAAGGGATTTGTTTCCAATCGTTTTGGACGTATCGCCGAACTTGCCAAGTTGTACATTGCTAAAATGGATCAGATCAGAGACTTTTTTGACGCGATCGTTGATGTAAACTCTAATAAGTTAGTATTAGCTGTATCAACCTTCATCACAAACGACTGGTTCCAGTGTGCATGTGAAATATATAACCTGATCGGTGACATGATAATATTTCTTATGATGGACTTATTCGGAATAGATGGTCGTAAATGCGAGTCAGAGCACAGTTGGGCGAATGTACGAGCTTTTTTCAGTGATATGTTTGAAAAATTAGCGACACTGCGAAAGCGATTCGGACAAACATTGACCGGAAAAGGACAGTTAATCGGAACCATCATTGAAGAAATCATTGATGTTTTAAATAGACAGGTATTACAGATGGACTATTTCGATGACGAAACTACGAGTACGATTGATGAAAAAAAATTAAGGTATGCTCCTATTACTAATATGGGATGTGAGTCTAGTTTCGCAAGACTCGATAACCAGATGAAAATTGCAGGAGGGATGACTAAAGTGGAAACGTATTCGAAAAAATGCATTATTGCTACTAATGGACTATTAGCTGATGAGAAATTTACAGAACTTGGTGATAAAGAGTGCAGAAATAAATGGAAATGGGCAAGGAGTAGTGACGAGGTTAAACGTGTGAGGAAATTAGAAGCTGACTTCTTGGCCACTGCCAAAATAAGCAAACAGTTAGCGTTAAAACAGAAAGAAAAATTGAAACAGCTAAAATTTGGTAAAATGCAAAAACTTTTGGATACGTGTAAACTACACGGAGGTCCAGTCACTGTCTCTTCAATAACCTCGTTGAATAACCTGAATGAACGACAGCTACTCTCTGAAATTGGCTATTTGAGGATAACTACAGCACCTGATATCCGTCAAAAACGACGTGTCAAGTCTGACAATGGGCGGTTCCGATTCCAAAATTTCACTATTCAAGAACTCAGAAACTCAATAAAATCTGTTGTTCATCCAGAATATAAGCAAGACTGTGACATTGAAACCTTGTTAAAATTAGCACTTGCTAAGCGTCGTTAAAACAGTAACTTACATCGAAAGATCATCAGAAAAAACCTATAAAATGATATATTACATGACATGTTCATCTTTACACTGTAAATACCCGGTTACCCCGGCAATATATGATCGCCATCTTGGATTTTGTCCGCCATCTTGGATTTCAAAGTTTAGTCTACTGGAAAGTAAAAAATAGTGAAAAACCTATAAAATGATATATTACATGACATGTTTGTTGTTATTCTGTAAATATCCGGTAATCCCTGCAATATACGGCCGCCATCTTGGATTTTGGCCGCCATATTGGATTCCAGGAGTTATTTGCTAGAGAAATGCTTTGTGTGACCTCTTATCAGAATTATATTGTTGAAAAACCCAGTAATGGTCTATACTTATGAAAATAAATCGCATTAATTCGAAGTAATAGCTTAAAAATACGATTTTTACATATTTAGACGTCCATTTCGAAAATGTGCCCCATTCCGACCAAAAAAATCGTCGAACACTAAAAATTCTTCAATTTTCGTTTTTTTCAGGCAATTTGGCCTAAGAAACACCCCTGCAGATTTTTTTTTTTGATATTGTCCCAACCCTACTCCTACTTGTTAAAATGATTTATATAATTAGTAAATAATTATCATCATTGGATGATTGATGTTTTGTCATATATATATATAGTGTAACCAATATATACATTGTACTTTTATAATCAATATGATACTGTTTATTAGTCGTGTTTATGTTGTTATGATTTGAATTTCTTCATGCAATATTTGTGAACCGCCAGTAGGAATAATGTCTCTTATAAATACATTAAGATGGCTTGAATTTGCCTGGCAGGCTAGCCTCTGGGACTGTGGTCGAAGGTCAGTGATATCGACAAGCTACGTTCCGATGGCAAAGATCCTCCTTTAAAGCTTCTTTCTGTTTCAGAGGATTGCCGGAAAAAGACAAATTGCAGATTGAAGAAAAGTACGGCGAATGCTATTCGCCCGAAAAAGGAAAGACACTGGCAGATTCAAGAACAAGTACGGCGAATGCTATTCGCCCGAAAAAGTAAAGACATTGGCAGTTCCAAGAACTAGTACGGCGAATGCTATTCGCCTGAAAAAGTAAAGACCCTTACAGAGTAAGGTGAACGCTGTTCACCCGAAAAAGGACAGTTTAACAGAAATAAACGCATTTAAGCTGTAAATACTGATATATATATATTTTGAAAGTTTTTGTTACATAAAGGTTTGAAAACTGAACGAGTCTGTCTTATTCCTACGGTGAAGCTTATTATAATTTTAGCAAAACACCATTACTGACCACTTTTTAGCTGGTCCTTACACACCCTTCCGAAGTTCCGTTTACCGGTGGCTCGTGATCAGCCAGGAATTGATCACTGGTGGCAGAGATACCAAGCTCCCCATACCCCAAACGTGGTTTTCCCTTCAAGGAAACGTTACAGTATTACCACATGCTCTATAGAAACACACTGACCTGGATAATTTTGGGTTGTTATACAATAACTTCGAAATGAAGATAAATATATAATTATCCACGACATATTTCTCACATTTATCAGTTTAACGGCATTATGGATCACATAATTGTGACGTAAATCCTACTAATGAATAACTAAATAACTAATGGATAACTAACTTCACAGCTAGCGACACTAGCGCCCCCTAGATTATCGTCTTGTACAATAAGTGTAACCATATAAACACAACATTTCTGCAACACATGGAATTATCAATATTGCTATACAATTGCACTGGAATATACGTAATTTTCATAATAATTCGGTAAGCAAGTTAACTAATCTCCAGATTTAATTCTACAATACGCACAAGGCTGTAATACCACTGTAAAAATATTATAATGCATTTTTCTCCCAACACATACATTGTAGAGGATTCATGTTATGTCTATGCTGTTTTTATTTAATATGAATGCGAATGCGAAGAGCAGTACTTCATATCTGATAACCCTTTTTTCAAAGATCATAATAATCTTGTTTACATCGTGCGTGAAGGCAATAGCGGTGAAGCGGCTTTGTTCTAGAAAATTCTTATGACACGCTGGTGATCAAATAGTGAATGACGAACAATGGACCGTGTCATGCCTTTGATAAGATTCCTACATATCAATTAACTTTTATTGTTCTACTACCAGACATTCATCATTAATTATCAACACAATACTCAGTATAATCTGTTAACGACGATGTATACAACTCTATAACACCACAATCATGAAATTATGTGGCTTTCATACATGTGCATTATTCTGTGTTGGCCGTACAATTTTACAGTTACATAGTTGAGGTCGATCGTAGCCATGTTTAAAAATTGGGTTTGAAAAAAAAAAAAAAAATTCCGGCCTATTTTCCATAGCCCTAGGTCTTGACTGGCATATACGGCCAATGTGGAACCCATGGTAAGTACCTACCTGCTCTAGCTGTTCTACCCACACGATGTACATAATCTTTAGGTCTATTAGGAACATTATGATTTATAATCAAATCTACTGTTGGGATATCTAAACCTCTGTAAACAATTAAATAAAATAAATTATTTGATTTATAATACATATAGAATATATACACATTACATATCATCAAATAATTATTCTTGATAAAAAAATTCCTACATTCTGACATATGGAGGAGAATTTGTTCAGACAATGCTCGTATTTCAACTCTGAAGAAATATTTTGGATGTACTGTCAGGCTGTCAATGTGTTCACAAGGTCTCATGTTTATATTCTATTCACATGACCAGGCATACTTTCATAGTCTGCTCAACAGATGTGGAACCTGGGTTTAAACATACATTATGCAAGAGCTAAATCTGCCAACTGCAGGTCTTTCTTTAGGCCTGAAACGTTATCTAAATTATTAATTAGACATTAATTAACTTATCCAGACCATAATCAACTTTCGATGGCATTGCTAGCCTGTGATATTTACTGGATTAGAACCCGGTCTGCTGCTTCAGATTAAATAAAAAAATCGATAATAATAATAATAATATGTCCATTTATATAGTAATATAGTAATGATGATCTAAGCCCAAAATTCAATTGCTAAATACACGGTTCAGGATGGATCATTTTGACTGAAATTTTCAGCAAATTCCCTTTACATTATCTAGTTTTTAACTATTATAGTGAGTACTACCAGCTCTTTATCTAATCTCTCATAATGTATCTTTAATAAGTCATGAAGGAACTTCCAAACTCCTCCACATTATCACTGTTATATAGATTGAATTTCTTTCATCTGGATGTGTCGATCGCAAATAATTTTAATATGCTCATTCAGACATCAAGATATTATGGTGAATCATACTAAATATTACAAATATCAATTATCTTCAATAATAAATGGGATTAATAAAGTAAAAGCAGGCTTTCACGGCAAAAAAACTAAGGGGAGCTGAAAAAATCTCTTCATGCAACTGGAAAAAATTGAAAATTGTTCTACAGCAATCAAGATAAATACAAAAGAGCTAACCATGCTAACACCTACCTACTAGCTACATCAGTTGCTATCATTATTCTAACTTTATGCGATTTAAATGATGCAAGTGATGCTAATCTTTCTGGTTGTCTTAATGTAGAATGTAATATAACACATTTAACACCCATTTCTTGTAAGATCATTCCTAATATTTGTGCATATCTGAAAGTATAATAAATTAATTATTCCTGATGAGGGCTGTGTAGAGTGATCAAAGGTACAATATTTGATAAAACAGACCAGGATCCACAAATTTTCACAGTGGATAAATGAATTTCAAACCATTTTCTATGTTATCTTTTTCATTATGTCTTGACAACAGAACTGAACAGCTACTAGTACCAGAGGGGTGGGACAATTTACCCATTTTACCAAATACTACCCAATACCACACCAATACCACTACAATATAACTACATACTACCCAATACTACAACATAATGATGTAAAATGTGCATATCAATTGAACTTAGTTATACTGCAGGAATTGTACTTTAAATGCAATTACCGATGTCTGGCTGTTCCATTTGCCTCCCTATATCTATTACATGTATATTAATTAAAGAAAAGCTGCCCCAAGAATATTTTTTATTTGGCTGTTGGTTCTATTACTCATATAGTTCAAAACATTCATTTATAACTCCAAACATCAAAACCAGCGACTGCCAGGCAGGATACGCCCACATTTTCGAGAGATGGATAAAGAACAAGCTAAAAAGAAAGTAATTTTTCCTACAATCCATGGCCATAATTCAGGAAGTTACGGTCCGATATGCGCAAATATCGAAAGGAACCGAGATCTTTGGGTTATAGACTTACATTTCAAGTTTCAACAAAGTCGGATACAAATTGTGACCTCTATAGGGTCCACAACCTTGATATACCATATTTTTACGCTATTTGAGAACGAGGGGCGTCCATTTTGTCTGTCAGTTTTGGGCCGATTTTCACGAAATTCGAACTCAGCCGTCCTTAGGGTGTAACAGTGATATAATAATATGTTTTTTTAATTGGATAAAAATTATGACCTCTATAGGGTCCAAAAGCTAAAATCGCGATTTTTCATACAATCAGGGGCCATAATTCTGTCTGTCAGTTTGGGGCCGATTTCACGAAATTCAAACGATTTTTTGTACAATCAGGGGCCATAATTCAGGAAGTTACGGTTCGATATGCACGAATATCGAAAGGAACCACGATCTTTTGGTTATAAACTTAAATTTCAAGTTTCAACAAAATCGGATAACCAGCGGCTGCCAGGCAGGATACGCCCACATTTTCGAGAGATGGATAGAGAACAAGCTAACAAGAAAGTGATTTTTCCTACAATCAAGGGCCATAATTCAGGAAATTACAAATTGATATGCGCATATATCGAAAGGAACTGAGATCTTTGTGTTATAAACTTACATTTCAAGTTTCAACAAAATCGGATAAAAATTGTGACCTCTATAGGGTCCACAACCTTGATATACCATATTTTTACGCTATTTGAGAACGAACGGTGGCCATTTTGTCTGTCAATTTTGGGGCGATTTTCACAAAATTCAAACTCAACTGTCCTTAGGTTGGAACGGTAATATAATAATACGGTTTTTTAAATCGGATAAAAATTATGACCTCTAATGGGTCCACAAGCTAAAAACGTGATTTTTCGTACAATCAGGGGCCATAATTCAGGAAGTTACGGTCCGATATGCACGAATATCGCAAGGAACCGAGATCTTTGGGTTATAAACTTACATTTCAAGTTTCACCAAAATCGGATAAATATTGTGACCTCTATAGGGTCCACAACCTTGATATACCATATTCTTACGCTATTTGGGAACGAACGGCGGCCATTTTGTCTGTCAATTTTGGGCCGATTTTCACGAAATTCGAACTCAGTCATCCTTAGGGTGTAACGGTGATATAATAGAACGGTTTTTTAAATCGGATAAAAATTATGACTTCTATAGGTCAACAAGCTAAAAACGTGATTTTTCGTACAATCAGGGGCCATAATTCAGAAAGTTACTGTCCGATATGCGCAAATATCGAAAGGAACTGAGATCTTTGTTTTATAAACATACATTTCAAGTTTCAACAAAATCGGATAAAAATTGTGACCTCTATAGGGTCCACAAGCTAAAAACGTGATTTTTCATACAAACAGGGGCCATAATTCATGAAGTTTCGATGCGATACATGCCAATATCGAAAGCAGCCGAGATCTTTTGGGGATAAACCTATATTTCAAGTTTCGTCGAAATCGGATAAGAATTGTGACCTGTAGAGAGTCCACAAACAATTGTGGACGGACTGACGGACAGGGGCGACGGCATAATACGTCCACATGAAAATGTGGGCATATAAAAATTGTAACCTCTATAGGGTCCACAACCTTGATATACCATATTTTTACGCTATTTGAGAATGAGGGGCGGCCATTTTGTCTGTCAGTTTGGGGCTGATTTTCACGAAATTCAAACTCAGCCGTCCTTAGGGTTTAACGGGGATATAATAATACATTTTTTTAAATTGGATAAAAATTATGAACTCTATAGGGTCCACAAGCTAAAAACGTGATTTTTCGTACAATCAGGGGCCATAATTCAGGAAGTTACGTACCGATATGCACGAATATCGAAAGGAACCGAGATCTTTGGGTTATAAGCATACATTTCAAGTTTGACCTCTACAGTGTTCACAAGCTAAAAACATGATTTTTCGTACAATCAGGGGCCATAATCCATGAAGTTACAGTCCGATACATGCCAATATCAAAAGGAACCGAGATCTTAGGGTGATAAACCTTTATTTCAAGTTTCATTGAAATCAGATAAAAATTGTGATCTGTAGACTGTTCACAAACAATTGTGGACGGACGGACAGGGGCGACGACAATATACGTCCACATGAAAATGTGGGCGTATAAAAAAGAGTGTTCTCCCACCAGATTCATTTTGAGAAAATTAACTGCAAAACATTCTATGCACGAATGTTTAACCCAACGAGGTAGCGAGCCATTTAGCAGTTAATTGTTTTGTTTTTTTATTGCATTGCATGGTACAGGGCATGTGATATTCTAAGTACTTGTTCTTTCAGCTTTTTGACATTTTCTTTGACTAGGTTTTTTGCCACATGACATATACAACAGAAAGAGGCTAAAACCAATATTGGCAAAAGAATATCTTCAAGTGTATTATTTGGTAGCAGTATGATCGAGTGATAATATAAATAGTCCAGAACTTGATTACCCAATCAACAATCTTAACCCCGTTGATTAATTGTTAAGTCAGGTGGAATGTACACAAGGAGAGCATTACACATTTGTAATAAACATGTGCAATTTCGTTCATTTTAAAATGAAAGTAAATATGCAATAACTTAATAGTTGACGTGAAAAAATAAACATAAGCAGTTTTTTTTTTTGTTAAAGGACATACCTCCTGACGATAGTCATTTATAAACTACTGGCCATCTTATATAATAATACAGTAGTTAATTATATACTGTTCAAAAAAAGTAGGGGATATTTGATTTTTAAGTGTTATTAAAGTCACCTAATGAAACTGACGAAGAAACAAATGACAAAATGAAATGAAGTTCACATTCATCGATTTATTCCAAATGATCGTTAGACTAAGTAAGGCACAGACTGACCATTATAAGGGTAAAATGATACCCGGGGTCAAACAGCAAAGTTACCACAGCATCACAACCAAGTCAGTAACGGGTAAATCCTCCTCTGTTTGCCAAACAAGCATTGATCTGACGTGGCATACTCCTAATGAGACGTCTAAGGTCATTTTGGTCCAGATTGTCCCATTCCTGTTGCAACGCAGCAGCAAGTTCTTGGACATTGGCAGGACGTTGTTGACGTTGACGTAACCTCTGTCCAAGCATGTCCCAGACATGCTCGATGGGGGAGAGGTCGGGACTCAGTGCTGGCCAAGGTAATGTGGTGATGTTCTGTTGTTGGAGGTAACCTGTAACGATCCTGGCCCTGTGACATCTTGCGTTGTCATCCTGGAAGATGAAACGGCGGCCATGACGTCGTGCGAACGGCACAACATGGACTGCCAAGATGTTGTCCCGGTAGTACTGGCCTGTAACACGCCCTGCAACAACATGTAAAGCCGTTCTTCCAGCAACAGTGATGCCTCCCTACACCATAACAGAACCACCCCCAAATCGATCATGTCTGATGACGTTAACGTCTTGGAAGCGCTCGTTTCGACGACGCCACACCCTCCTACGTCTGTCCAAAAAATCAACAGTGAACCTTGACTCATCTGAAAACATCACATTGCTCCAGCGTCGATTATCCCAGTGTTGACGATCCCTACACCAACGACGTCTTGCCTGAATGTGATGATCTCTCAAACAAGGGATCACGCGAGGACGTCGGGCGCGAAGGTGACCCCTATGCAGTCGATTCCGAATCGTCTGGCCACTCACTCTCACACCAGTGTCTGTTTGAAGACGAGAGCTGATCTGATTTGCTGTGATGACACGATTTCTCAAGGCCAAGGTACGGATAAATCGATCCTGGGCTTGAGTTGTCGCCCTTGGTCGACCTGAGCGTGGTCTGTCCTGTACAGATTGTGTATCACGGTATCTGGACCATAGCCTGCTTATGACAGACTGAGAAACATTCATCGTCCGCGCCACAACCGCCTGTGTTGTGCCGATCTGTAGCATGCCAAGGGCACGTAACCTTTCATTTTGGGTAAGCCGACGCATATCAAAATTTGTTTTCTGGTCACTAAAACAATTAAACTGATGTTTCCACCCTGGAATTCAATGCCACAATGACTGTAACATTCAAAGTCAGAGTCGTGCAAATCTTGGGTTGGACCCCCATGATGATCCCAAGCATCACCTGCATTCCATGCGGTAGCTATTGGTGCGTTTGGGCTTCACATGTAACTGGAAATGTTTCTTCTGTTAGGTTCTATAGTGACTTTTTTCGTAGTCATTTGCATATTTTAGTATTATGCCCCCAAAATCAAATATCCCCTACTTTTTTTGAATAGTATATATAAAGATTAAAATATGCACAACAAAATACTTGTTTTTCTTATTTTAATTTCGTCGACTTTGAAACCAACTGCAACGCAAAAGAAGATGAATAATCTGAATAGCAATCTAACATCTATTTACTGGTTGTAAAGGGAGATAACTCCATAACTAACCATTTCCATTTTCTGCAAATTATCAAATATTCGTTGCAGTAATTATACTAATGTGTTGCTATTTGACAATATAAGGTTGTTATTTGATGATAGTGGGTAGTATTTGGTGGTATTTGATAGTATTGGGTTAGTTTTTGCTCGTTTTAAATGATATAGGGAGGCAAATAGAACAGCCAGACATTGATAATCGCATTTGAAGAACATTTCCCCGATATAACTTACTATTTTTGAAAAAAAATCAAATGATATGTCCACTTTGCATCATTATGTTGTAGCATTGGGTAGTATGAGGTGGTATTGGGTAGTATTGGGTAAATCGTCCCGCCAGTACCAGAGGTTGAAGTCACATAAAAATCTGTGTTTTTCACACAATTATTGTAAGAAAATAAAAACCAGTGAAAATGTGGACGTATAAAAATATAGATGAAGCTGCTTATTTAGATGCAAAATTTTTTCCAAAATTTGAGAGATTAGATTGTTGAATACATCATCAATAAATATTTACATTCAGCCAATTATTTTGATACAGTTTGCCATATAAACATCTGTTTGAGCATGCATGAGCATAGAAGAAATGCCAAAAAAAAGCTGTGGAAAAGTCACGCATCGAAATGGTCCCATTACATTTGCAATACATGGAAAGCGGAGCTACATGTAAGCAGGGCTCTATAAAAGTTGAGTGTGCCTGCGCACACACTTGAAAATGTGCCTGCAGGGTCATACTGAAACACAGGGATGTAGCCATGATTTGGTGAGTGGTGTATAAATATATCTGGCGAGCGGAGCAAGACCAAAAGATTTTTGGGAGGGGGGTGTGGTCTTTTATGAAAATTAAACCCTTGTTGGTGTATTTTCAGAGCATCTGCTGCCTTTTGTATTTGGTTCAGTGCAAATCAAATTTCCATTTATATATTCAAATTTTACGAAATTTACTTAATTTTCATCAATGATACAGGGATCTAAAAACTTTTTGACACCACCCGACCGAGCATAAAATTGTCCCGCCCCACTCTGTTTCTCTGGATAGTTGAGGACCTTTAGGTATTTGTTGTTTTGTTGGGGTTTTTTTTTTCAAATATTACTTTATTACTTTGAGATTAAAAATTAAAACGATTCTTAAAACGGTGTTTGTGTTTTATTTGAGTACAACGAATTATGACAACAGGTAGATATTGATAATTAAAACACGTTGTATTATTTGACTTGTTTGTAAAGTTGTTGTATGTGTCTCACGAATATTATTATTATTACGGTGGAATGAGAATCAGGTCAGGCAGAAACTGAGAAAGCTCTCATCGTCCTCCTAGTCCTACTCTCGGGCCGTAGAAAATCCACGTTCAACACAGGTAAGAAATAAAATAAGAAACATCACGAAAATTTGCAGGCACGTGTTGGACAATTACTACATTCAAACCTGTAACATTGGAGTGCCGTAAATTGGTCTGGGTGACCTATTTACGGCAAATAAACAAATATTATAAAGACCGTAGAATAATTGTAAAATGAATATACCTAGGCCTACACATCTTCTAAGTATAAATAAACAAAATACCAATACATCTTTCTTTAAACTAATTTGGGATGATAGGGTCTACTACGGCAAACAAAAAAAAATTATGCCGTGACAGACATGGTTTGCGTACGTCGGCTTTTACTTTTACCATGGCTTTGCCGTTTAATTGCCGTGGTAAATTTCGAGGGCCGAGTTTGTGTACAGAGAAGGACGAAGGGGTTTAAATACGACTGGTCGGCTTTCTTCGATTTTTTCTTTGTGCTGGGCGACAATAAATAGTGCCGGGCGCAGGCGCCGCCCGCCGCGGCTACATCTTTAAAAATGTGCCTGCAAAATTTTTTTTTAAAGCAAATGTGCATGCACACGCCGTGCGCATGTGCGCGGAAATATCGATGCCTGCATGTAAGTCACGTAGATTAAGAGGGCAATATTGCAAAATTGAAACTCATAATTGATCCACTGTGACCTCTGGCTACTACTGAAACTGAATAATAAAAATATTCATCACTTACTTGCAAGTATTTGTAAATATCATAACAGAACTTTTAGGATTTTTTTCTAAGAATTTATCTAAAACATGAAACATATAGGCATCTTTAACATCTGCTGAACATAATACATATCTCTGATCTAATTCATCTACTGTTGCTATTCTAAAAAAAAATAATAAAAACTCAGAAAATACAATATATTTCTTAATAAGATCTCTTTGTGAGTATCTTAGTTAAATAAATAGCATGCAAGCAAGTGATGTTTAAATAATCTAAGATTTCGATCAAAGATCTTTTTACAAGAATAACCAGCGGCTGCTAGGCAGGATACGCCCACATTTTGCAAGAGATGGATAGAGAAAAAGCTAAACAAAAAGCAATTTTTCGTACAATCAAGGGCCATAATTCAGGAACTTACGATCCGATATGCGTGAATATCAAAAGGAACCAAGATCTTTGGGTTATAAAGATATCTTTTGAGTTTCATCAAAATCAGATCAAAATTGTGACTTCTAGAGCGTCCACAACCTTGATATACCATATATTTACACTATCTGCGTGTGAGGGGCGACCATTCAGTCTGGCAGTTTTTGTCCAATTTTAATGAAAATCAAACTTAACCGTCATTAGGGTGGAACTGTGAAATATTCAAACAGTTTTTTTCACTCGGGTAAAAATTGTGACCTCTAGAGGGACCACAAGCTAAAAGCGTGATTTTTTCGTACAATCAAGGGCCATAATTCAGGAAGTTGCGATCCGATATGCACGAATATCAAAAGGAACCAAGATCTTTGGGTTATAAAGATGTATTTCAGGTTTCATCAAAATTGGATCAAAATTGTGGCCTCTAGAGGGTCCACAATCTTGATATACCATATATACACCATTTGCATATGAGGAGGGGTGGCCATTTTGTCTGGCAGTTTTGGTCCAATTTTCACGAAATTCAAACTCAGCCATCAGTAGGTCGTAACAGTGATATATTCAAACATTTTTTTAAATTGGATAAAAATTGTGACCTCTACAGGGACCACAAGCTAAAAACGTGACTTTTTGTTCAATCAAGGGTCATTATTCAGGAAGTTACGATCCGATATGCGCGAATATCGAAATCGGAGATCAAAATTGTTGCCTCTAAAGGGACCACAACTTTGACATACCAGATGTTTACACTATTTGCATACGAGGGGTGGCCATTTTGTCTGGCAGTTTTGATCCGATTTTCATGACATTCATACTCAAGACAAAATTACGGTGTAACGGTGATATATTCGAACGTTTTTTTAAATCGGATAATTGTGACCTTTAGAGGGACCACAAGCTAAAAACAATCAGGGGCCATAATCCACAAATTTACAGTCTGATACATGCCAAAATCGAAAGGAACCGAGATCTTAGGGTGTTAAACCTATATTTAAAGTTTCATAGAAATCGGATAAAAATTGTGACATGTAGAGTGTTCACAAACAATTGTGAATGGACAGACTGGGCGACAACAATATATACGTCCACGTGAAAATGTGGGCACATAAAAAAGTATGTATTTGATTTTAAAAGAATACTCGAATTTCAAAGCCTAGAAGTGATATTTTAATAAGAAAGAAAATAATAATTATTTGCTGTTATGATACATATAACAATATAATCCAAAATATAATATTTTAAATATATATATATATATATACTCTTCAAAAAAAGTAGGGGATATTGAGAAACAATATAAAACTGCGGAATGAACTGCTGTTTTTATTAGAGGTAACCAGTGTATTTTAATAACAGGCCAATTTCCTACACATGAACATAAACAGTTCATATGGGCAGCTTATCTGGCGGTCCCATTTCACTCGCAGAGAGATACACCGTCAAAAATGAAAATGGACGTTTTTGATTTTTGTCTTAATAATGAATAATTGCTCTACCAATCCTCAGACATTCAGCAGTTCGTCGTGGCATGCTCCTAATCAAAAGTCCAATCACGATTTGGGGCAATCTGACCCACTCCCCTTGCAGTGACACGGCCAATTCTTGCAGTGTTGTCGGTTGACGTTGACGAACACGTCTCCCGATGAAAATAAATGTAATACACTAAAGCAAAGATACGCTAAACAGAAAATCTTATGCAAGAACCAATAGGAATGCTAACAAGCCAATATATACTTACGTGGATTCTTGCTGCCAGAAAAAAGGCTTTTTGTCAGAAACTTCCATCAAAGAAGAAAAAGTTGGAGACGATGTAGCACTAAATAGAAGGGTTTGTCGCTTTTTGGGGAGTGTCCCAAATATAGTTTCAAGCTGTTGACCAAAATCATCTTCTAACAATCTATCAGCTTCATCCAATATCTGAAAAAGCACAATTATATAGAACTATAATAAATATTAACAAAATAAAATATGAACAGATTATGATAAACTGTAATCCAACTTGTATAAATTGCCATATAAAAAGTGGGTCCTACATGTACTAATCAGTGACAGGACCAACAAGAGCGTTTTTTGGTCGATAGCGTCCAAAGTATTGCAAAAAGTGCCCCACAACGAAAGATAAATTATAGGTATGCATATTGTACACTCCATATCCAAAATTTAAAGGATTTCATAAGAAATGACAAAATTATGGATAACTGGAATATTGTAGCTTCTTGTAGGACAGAATAAAGTAATCCTTTTTTCATTTAAAAATAGAACAAAATTTATTTTATTATCAGTAGTGGAATACTGCGTTTTATCAGTGAAATAAAAGTGTTATTCCACTGTCTAGTTGTTTTTACCTAAAATGATTGTAAAATCATAAAATAAATAGAACATTTGTCGTTTTGTCGTGAATAACATATTTTATTTCATCTCTAAGCAAGAAAACATTTATATTTTCAACGCATTCGTGAAAATATAAGTTTTCTTGCTTAGAGACAAAATAAAATATGTTATTCACGACAAAACGACAAATATCCTCTATATATCTTTATCACAAAAATTTCACATAATGCCATCCTCAGCACCTTTAATACTAGTGTTTTTCCTCGGTGGAAACATCATCAGAAATGATAAACGTTTTATACTTTAGGAAGAGAGATGGCATGCCAATCATTTTAAGTACTAAAATCAGTATTATTATATGTATTTTAGTTGACAACAATTTTACACTAATACACAAGTTTAAATATCGTAAATTATAAATTGTACTCACAAGAAATTTAATTTTTTTCAATGAAAATGTATCACAGTTTTCTATATGAGATGCTAGTCTACCAGGTGTAGATATAACAATATGTGGTTTGACAGCTAAATCAATACCTTGTTGATTCATATCTACAACATTACACATATATACATATTTAAAAAAAGATAAGACTATGTGATTAACTTGGGGTTTCTCCATGGTCAGACAATATTAATCTCCTTGATGTCAGTTGACAACATGTAGAAACTTGTCATATATATGTCACATATCCTATTACAGATATCCACACACACATGGTTATAATACAATAACCAAAAACTAAAGTAGAAATCTTGCGAGACAAATAAAATTATGAGAGATGTAAACGTGACAATTATCACATGGAAAATGTTGGAGAAAAGATTCTATTTTCATGCATATTCTGAGGTTTATGATAATATTTGAATGGGGTTTATGCTTTTAAAAAAAGAAATAAACAAGCTGAAAAATGTAAAAATACTTAGAATTCGATTGGAATAGTGTAAGTAGTTAATTGTTTTACACGCATGCGATGAGAGTCGAGCATTATTATTTAGCCGATGATGTCACTCTCTCTATATCGTGGAGCGACGGTTACAGCCAAAAATTGTTTTTTTTACCTCCATCCGAATATTAGTCGAAATGGAGTTTAAGACGAATGCCAGACTTCTGGTGAAAAAAATGTTGATCTGGCCTCCGAAAAAAAAATATGGTCATTTTGGAGGAATATTACTGGTGTTACGACAAAACGTGATTTTGTAGAAATATTACTGACATAAATTTGAATACTGCACGGGAATTAAATGCGAAAAATAATGAGGTGCACCTATTTTTTTATTACGTACGAATTTAAATATTTTGTTGACACATGATTTTTGTGTGTGGTCTGAAACTGCCTGCTTAATTAACGATAAGAGTTATGTTCCTTTATTTTCGGTAAAAATGTCCGACAAGAAAAAGTTTTAAATCCAAACACTGATCCATGTTATATACAAATGTTTACGAACTGACTTTTGAGTTTTGCAGTATATTGGGTCATATACATGCACTTCATGTACTAAAACAGAAAAATCGTCAGGATAAACAGATTAAATTGTTTTCTTGAATATGTTAGAAAGATGTTATTTACTCTAAAGTTTAATCCTACCTAAACCACCAGTAATCACAGTAACTCTAACACCAATTGGTTTACCCAACACACGGAACTGCTCACAAATCTGGAAAGCCAACTCCCTAAAAAAATATAATGGATGATTTTATTGACCAAAAATGCTTCACTTTCACCCTGTTGATCGTTTGTAAAACCTACAACTTACTATTGTTCAACACTTGCGTCTATCATATTTTAATAAACACAGTAGGGTCAATGTCCAGGTCGCAGATTTTTATACGCCCACATTTTCATGTGGACGTATATTGTCGTCGCCCCTGTCCGTCCATCCACAATTGTTTATGAACACTCTATAGGTCACAATTTTAACTGATTTCAATGAAACTTGAAATAAAGGTTTATCACCCTAAGATCTTGGTTCCTTTCAATATTGGCATGTATCGGACTGTAACTTCATGGATTATGGCCCCTGATTGTATGAAAAATCACATTTTTAGCTTGTGGACCCTGTAGAGGTCACAATTTTTATCCTATTTGGTTTAAACTTAAAATGCATGTTTATAACCCACAGATCTCGATTCCTTTCGAAATTTGCGCATATCTGACCATAACTTCCTGAATAATGGCCCCTGATTGTACGAAAAATCGCGTTTTTAGCTTGTGGTCCCGTTAGAGGTCACAATTTTTATCCGATTTAAAAAAATGTTTGAATATATCACCGTTACACCATAAGGATGTGCGAGATCGAATTTCATAAAAAACGGACCAAAACCGACAGACAAAATGGCCGCTCCTTGTTCGCAAAATGTGTCAAAATGTTGTTTTTCAGGGTTGTGAACCCTCTGGAGGTCACAATTTTTATGTGATTTTGATGAAACTTGAAATGCATGTTTATAACCCAAAAATCGTGTTTTTAGCTTGTGGTCCCTCTAGAGGTCACAATTATTAAATATTATCCGATTTAAAAAAACAATCAAATATATCACTGTTACGCCGTAATGTTTGTTGAGTTTGAATTTCATGAAAATCGGCCCAAAACTGCCGGACAAAATGGCCGCCCCTCGTACGCAAATAGTGTAAACATTTGATAAATCAAGGTTGTGGACCCTTAGAGGTCACAATTATGATTAGATTTCAATAAAACTTGAAATATGTGTTTATAACTCAAAGTTATTGGTTCCTTTCGATATTCGCACATATCCGCGCATAACTTTCTGATTTATTGCCCTTGATTGAACAAAAAATCACGTTTTAGCTTGTGGTTCCTGTAGAGATCACAATTTTTATCTGATTTAAAAAAAACCTGTGAATATATCACCATTACACACTAAGATCTTGGTTCCTTTTCATAATCGCGGATACCCAAACTTAACTTTCTGGATTACATTTTTAGCTTGCGGATTCTCTAGAGGTCACAAATCTTTTCCGATTTTAAAAATCGTTTAAATACATCACCATTCCACCATAATGAAGGTTGAATTCGAATTTCGGGAAAATCAAAATGAAACTGCTCGACAACATGGTCGCTCTTTGTACGCAAATTGTGAGAAGTGTGTAATACGAAGGTTGTGGACCCTCTAGAGGTCACAATTTTTATCCGATTTTGATGAAACTTAAAACATACATGTATGTATCTTTATATCCCAAAGATCTCTGTCCCTTTTGATATTTGCACATTTCAGGCCATAGCTTTCTGGATTATTGCCCCTTTTTAGCTTGTTCTCTATCCATGTTTTGCAAAATGTGGGCGTATCCTGCCTGGCAGCCACTGGTTTTTGTTAGAAAGGCACTATTTTTATACAGTTTCAAAGAAGCATGGTGACCAATAGAGACCTTATACTTGTAGGTGCCATTATAGATATATGTAGCAATTAGACATTTTACCTTGTTGGTGTTAAAACTAATGCAAATATACCAAATGGATCCTCTGATAATTTCTGTAATACCGGAAGAGCAAATGCTGCTGTTTTACCACTTCCTGTTTTAGCACAACCAATACAATCCTCTCCTTAAATATACATCATATAATATTTAATAGGTATTAATACTTCCTGCATAACAATAAATTCAAATAATTCTATACAATATCATATTATATTCAAAATTATATTAGTTAGACTCATTGAATTATTAAAAACCTTATACCAGATGATACATGTACTGTTTTATCAGCCTCATATATTCTATTATAAAGTACTTTTATCTATCTCTATCTAAGCACCATACATGTGATCTACATGTATTTTTCCAAGCTTTTAACCACTCTACCCTTTTAACCATCATAGGTGGCACTTTTATATCATTGAACAACAATAAAACTCACTGGCAAACAACAGCTGTCCAGTAAAACATGTTTTTCCAAAATCACATTTACCGAAACCTCCAGATTAAAACTTGACAACCATACTGGTATACATGTAGGTTGACTTTTATACATGATGTCTCAATATTGCAGTGTTTTTGACACTGTCCATCCTAATATATATGTTTTAGACAACTTAGATAACTACAAATACAATAATCAAATCATTTGATAATAAATGGTCTTTTAAACTGAATTGTTCTGAAGATGAATAAACCACCTCTCATTTCAACCTAAAGTCTGTTTTTGTACTCCTGGTGCGCGGGAAAAAATTAATATTGAGAATAAATCAAAAATAGATAAAATTTTGTTGCGTGTGGAATCCTGTTCCGAATTAGAATTTGCCAGAGTTCATCTAGGTCATTTCCTTAATGATTTGCAGTTGCTTTTCAGCGATGAAGTTTTGGAAATCTCCTAAAATGGACAGTAACAAAGGATTTTGTGTGAAATGGACTGGATATAACTATAAGTTTAATGTTTTAGCAGTGTAGATATTACGTCGTCAGAATATCAAAGAGTAACATCTAACTTGTTGGATTATATCCAATTTGTTTTATACCATGTTTTCACCTATTGTCTGTACTTTAATGTTATATCATCAGCCTTACATTATATCATACAATGACTGAATGAAATGGGGCTTAACATCTTACTTATGGCATCAATCAAGCTAATGAACACGGGCATACATAATCCAACAAGTTTGATGTTACTCTTTGATATACTGACGAGTTAATATCTAACATCCTAGCGAAATGAAATGAAAATGGGTTTAACGTCTTACTGTTCTGCTTCGAACTGGGCTAATGAAAACGGGCATACGCCATACAGTGTGCTATGAGGGAAATTTTACCTGGACAGCGGCACTGCATTCTACTCTTATACAAGACAGACCCGTCAACCCCTCAGAGCTGAAATGCAGTGGGTAGTGTAAAAAATGCAGTAGAAACCATGATTTGGCAGTAGATTTCCAAAAAAGCATAAAATCGCACTTCCAAGGGGCCATCCAAGGGGCCATCCAACCCCCCCACTTCCAAGGGTAATTAATTTAGAAATGATACACTGAACTGCAGGCCAAACAATACAAAAATTGCATTAAATGGGTAATAGATAAAATTGTATACACAAGCAATGGTACATGATGTACCATATCTAAAATTATTTATGTAATTAAACCAAAATTGAATATGTAGCCTACAGAAAGTGATAATTAGTAACGTAAAAAAAAATTTAAATTACCAGTCCAGTAGTACTGGCAGTAAGTAACACTTTTCTTTTATTTTAACTTAGCATGATTTTAAAAAATATTCTTGTGACGTGTTCCCCATTCCAGAGTTTTTAACAATATTGTTTCATGTAAGATAATTGGTGTGCTTATTAGATTCTGTAGTATTTCTACATTAGGAATAGAGGGGGGGGGGAGGGCGTAAAAAATTAGTTTTGCATAACGACTAAATATTGGTATCGATTTAATCATGCCCCCCATGGCGATTATCCTCTCAATGTACGGGATTTCTTTCTCCCATGATTGCGTAAATCGAGAGAGTGTTCCATGTAAGTCAGAATCGGCGAGACATATTCCCATCTTGAAATTAAATATCCAGGTTGTGTTGCATTCGAAATATTGTATTAGATGCTGTATGTACATGTACGCGGGCAAACGAAAATGTCAGCCATTGCTGCCGTAAATTGGTCGCTATTTGTTCAGTTTATCGCTACGCATTTTAAGAGTATTTGGAACACGTGCCAATAATTATATTCACTTTATTTACTCTAAAATAGATTGAAAAGAATTTGAGAACAAATCTCTTAGCTAAATTACACCTTACAATATCCCAAATCGATGCTGATAAACCAAAGTCGCGATCTTTAGAGTTCCATAGTTTTGGAGAGAAAATTAAAAATCTCTTTGTTTGAAAATGCGGTACATGAGGCCTTTTCGTGGCACTTTACCGCGTGATGCGGTAGAGTTGACAGGTCTGTATGAACTTAGTTGAAAATTCAAGCAAAAACATTGACTTTTCAAAAGAGAACTTTTTTTTTTCGTTGGGATATTCAATTGTGCAATGGATTTTATTCAACCGGAGGTGATTTCAATGACATAAGCAAGTTTTTAATAACAATTATTCAGTAGTTTGTTCACAATCGACAAAATCCGTTTATTTTAATTTACCACGGTTCAGACACTAGACAGTAGATTAAAATTATTATTTTTCTTGTTTGTAAATATATATATTATTTGTCATATTGTTATGATTTTATGTACATGTTTATATTGTATGGTGTTCTTAATGGATGTTTCGATACAATAAAATCTTATCTTATCTTTAATTTGTAAACAAACCTTTCAGAATTGGTGGCACACATTTTTGTTGAATAGGTGTTGATTTTGTCAAACCCATAGCTTTACACTGCTTGACAAGCCAGTCATTCAAACCAAGCTCCGAAAAAGAACTCATATTGATTAGTTTTAGTTAGAGGTTGGTTTTAAATTAGATAAATGTCACACAAAATTAGTTCTGTTTCCTACAAATGCATATTCTACAGCCATGCTGTTTTTATAAACTTCCGTTATATGTTCGACTTCCGGTTCATTAAATCGAGTTATCTCCCTTCGACTAAAGAATAGTTCTAGATGTATCACAGGGCCCTTATTCACGAAAACTTAAACTAAGTTACAACCGAAATTTTAAGAAATACTGCAACTTCATTGGATATATGCAAACTGATTTTACTGGTCAGCCAATCGAATTGCAGTATTTCTTAAAATTTCGATTGTATCTTAGTTTAAGTTTCCGCGAATAAGGGCCCAGAGTAAATGGATGTACTATGATTATTACTATTATCAGTACTGCTTGTGGCCTTGTGTACCATTGCAAGGCTGCGAAAATAGTTAATAGATATCAAAAATATAATGGCACCCACAAATCAATTGGAATGAGTTGAAAGATAAAACTATAGAAAATAATCTGTTTTTCTTAGAGATATAATGCGAAAGCCTTCTTTTTAATGAACAGAATCATGATATTCTGGTGAAAATACATATTTATTATAGATGTATATTGTAGCGCCGGTTAATATCCGACGACAGGGTTTGGAGTATAGGAACTCTGCCACCAGTGATTGATATTATAGGCCAATCACGAACCTCGGGTAAAGTAAGCAAAACGCAAAGGCTCCCCTCCCCGGAGACAAGGTTTGGAATTAGCCAAAAGGTAATTCTCCTCAAGTATCCCCAAGCAAAGAATAAGAGAAGGCCAAATTATAACTAATGTGTATTTAAAAACCAAGAAAATTACAATGTGTATAACATGTTACTCATGATCAGATACTTACTTAAATATATGTAGGTACATAAGATTTATTGAGAAGGACGTTACAACTCGCTATCCCGGTATGTTGATTATATAGGCGGTTTCGTTAACTCAAACCTCAATTATACTGTGTATAGCGAGAATTCCTTAAGCAATTGAAAAATACTACTTACGTAGATACACTCCAATCACACTATGAAACAGCAAATTATCAAGTATAAGTTCAGTAATAATAAACATAGCAAAATGGTAATGATTTAGGAAATATTTCAGACAAAGAATGAATATTAATAATTATAACAAATGTGAAACATACACATATTATACATATTTAAAATTAGCAAAACATACTACAGATTTTGATACTACAACAAAATATAAACGAATTAGAAATATATAAATTATCTACATAAATCATTCAATGATTGGACATGAAAAGGGTTATCTACCCTTATAAAAAACGAACGAGAAACGAAGGCCGTTTCATATATTATTAATTCATAATCTCTAGCAAAGGAATGTATTACATGTATGCCTTAAAGTAGCTAAGTCCGTAACTCAATATCATCCAAAAAGCTTCGACATTGAAAACACTAATTTTTAAGCAATTTAAATCAGCATTGGTGTTGTGATCTTACCTGGAAAAGATGGGCTTCTGATATCCAATATCTAATCCAAAATAAACATTTTACCATTGGTACACGAATCGTGTACCATAATGCGTTTCAGCGCCATTTGTAACAAGGTGCTCAAAGAATGGGGCTAGACATATCCCACAAGTCATGTCAAACGGTGATATCATATTCTTATTTGGAGAGCATGCGCAATAAATAATATCGGTGTTGATTGGAATAACCAGACGCTAGAAACTGCCTTGCGGTTGAGACTTCTGGCGTATTTCGCCGAACATAACTGATGACAATTCACAGTAAAACGGACACGATTGACTGTAAAACAGTTTATATAAATTCATATTACATTACTATGTGTGTTGCGACTCATTTGTGCAAATTTCTAGCTTCAAAATATTAGCGATTTTGCTCCATCAAGTAGGCTACTTGTTTGGTACATATATTTCATTTTGTTTTCCCACGCTTTGTATTTATAGGTTTGTCTTTTTGTAAAATATCTATATTTGTGTAACTTAAAAAATTGCCATCAGGCTTTAACCCATATGCATGCTGTAACTTTATGGAGTGAATGCATCTAGGCCTCTCTTATAAGTTATCAACCTATTGTTTTGTTTCGCAAATAGCTTTAGTAGTTCGAGTTATTTCCCCTTGATATGTTTAACTTCTTAAAACAAAGAGGAATTCACTGTGGTCACTTAAATGTTTGTCACATAATTAATAAGCTTGATGAGCTTAAAGAATTAATCAGAAATTTTAATATATCTGTTTTTTCTGAAACCCATTTGAATGACTCCGTGAATGATGAATACATTAGTATTCCTGGCTTCCATACACCGTTTCGTAAAGACGGCCTGTAGCAATAGTTCATCAGGTACGCTTTTATATGTTAGAGATACGCTCAATTGTATGAGAAGAAACGATCTTGAACACCCCGATATAGAGTCAATCTGGCTTGAAATAAAATTGAAAAATACGACCCCTATTCTCCTATGCTGCGTTTATCGCAATCCGGCCTAGCGCTGTAACTGGCTTGAAAACTTTAAACAAATGATTGAACTACCTTGCAATTCTGGGTCTGAAATAATAATGTTTGGTGATTTAAATATTGATATTTTAAATCATAATAATTGTTACTGGCTAGATGTACTGGATTTATATAACCTCAAACAAATTATTACTTCTACAATAGTCACAAATCACTCATCTACCTTAATTGACCATGTCATCGTGTCCTCACCTAATAATATTATTGAAACTAGTTAAGTGTTCCTTCATATTCCATATCGGATCATTATCCAACATGTTTAAATGGAACAAAATGGGCATATAAATCCCCAAAACTAATCATATTTATATTACATAACGATCTTTTAAATATTTTTCTGAACCTGATTATATAAATGATTTACAACCCGCCCCTTTTGATAATGTTTATAGCACAAATGATCCCAATAAAGCCCTGGAGTTATGGTATAATACTATAATTCCAGTTATAAATAAACATGCTCCAAAGAAAACCAAACGTGTTAAGAATGCTACGAAGCAGCCCTGGCTTAACAAAGAAATTTTTAATATGATGCGTCAACGCGATTACCATAAAAAGAAGGGAAATATTACTCAGTCTAAAATGTATAGAAATTTGTTAAAGAGTATGATTCGGAAAGCAAAAGCTATATATTTTCAAAGTCTTGTCTCTAATAATAATAAAAATTCTAAAACTATATGGAATGCCATAAACACAACAATAATAATTCACAAACAATCCCCATTGTTTCGGAAGATTTTAATACTTATTTTACAGAAATTGCCAGTAATTTATTCGGTAGTAGTACAACAATTGATAATATCGATATGACAAAAATTTCTGACTTTGTTAATAAGCATATGCCTTCTCAAGCTCAATTTCATATCCCAGGTATAAAAATAACAGAAGTTAATAAGTCCCTAAAAGCTCTAGATATCACAAAAGCCGCTGGACTAGACCCTGTTAATGCCCTATTTCTTCAAAAAGGTGCACACACAATCTCTGAAAGCCTAACCTATATTTATAATATTTGTATTGATCAGAATGTTTTCCCTACTGTTTTAAAAACTGCTAAAGTTTTACCTTTATACAAAAATGGACCCAAAAATGATCCAAACAACTACCGACCAATTTCCATATTACCAAGTTTATCAAAAGTATTAGAGAAACATGTCTATTCACATCTTACTGAATATCTCAATAAATATAATTTATTGTATTCTAACCAGTCCGCGTTCAGATCTAATAGCTCCTGTTTGACTGTTTTAACTAATATTACTGAAAATATGTATGACTCCCTAAATAATAATCTTCTACGTGGGGCCATTTTCTTTGATTTTAGGAAAGCCTTTGACCTTGTAAATCATAAGCGGTTACTACAAAAATTGCAATTGTATCAATTGTCCAAGACATCTATAATGTTTTTCAATTCATACCTGCTTGATAGAAAACAAAGGACCTTTGTAAATAGAGGTATCAACAAAAGGCATTTTCAGTTGATCCCGCTAGATGCTTCGAGTTTTCGGAGGCCAAATTGACTGAAAAAGCCAAATCTGGAAAAATAATTCCTCTACAATGGGTTTTTGGGTTGGAGCCTGGCGATTTTCCAAAATGGCGGCTAATATGGTCGCAAATAATCGGTTTTCTCGTTTTTCACTCAGTTGGATGGTTTTAGATATCTTGTTTGGTGTCTTTTTGGTTGTTTTCAGTGTTGCCGAGTCCAATGGTAGCATCAGCAATGGTGTCACGTTCACGGTTATACCAAAAATCCAAAATGGCGGCCAAAATGACTTCATTATGACCGATTTTCCAAGTAAAAAGTGGATTAACGGAGATTCAGGTTGTGTAATATATGGGAGATTGGTGGCGAGTGAGTCAGATCAGGAGGTCTAATTACCTGACTATATCACCTGGGTCGATTTTGTCAAACTAGGCGACTTAATGACGTCATAAGCTTAATCTATGACGTCACGAGAATTAGTTTTCGGTGATATAGTTTTTTCTGAGCCAATAAGTAAATAGTAATGTATCAGTTCGGAGGCAGACATATTATTCTGTTAACTGCTATGAGGAAAAACACTTCTAGGATGAAACTTGCTCCAAATAAACCGTGTCCAGATAATTTCTTGATTTACTCATCACCGTTTAATATCAAAATGACCAATAATAAAACATAACACATGAATATAATATAGGTAATCAGTTATCATAACATTGAAAATAATCGGAAATCATATCAAACAGAAACAATAAAGATCACAGTTCTGATTTCTGTCCATGTAATCCTTAGGATTCTAAGCCTCCCCTCAGCCCATGTACTTCTATTCAGCTCACCGGTACTCCATCTCAGATACGTTCAGTCAAAGCTGCTCTTAAAATAGTGTCAAGGTCGTCCTCAACCTTGTTCTCTGGACTCACTGCTACTTTTATTGATGCTCGCAACTCGGCGACAGAGAAGTTCTGGTACTTGAATCTATTCCCGTCCATGATGCGTCTCTTCTGGCGTATTTCAGGGGCCACAGTGAGTCTGAGAAAACTTATTTCAGACAGCAGCTGGCTTTCAGTCAGTCTGGAAAGAATGTCTAAATTTGAGGAACTTA